TCCCAAAAAATTTGGAGGCATCTACTTTCCAAAAAGAGGTCATTTTTATAACTTTCGTACTGTCCTGACATTTTCACTTTCACAGAAAATAACTGAAATAGTATTTGTTCCTTTATATAGTACAAAAAAAAAAATAATACGCACGCCATAACATTCTGGCCATTTGCAGGTGAAGTGACTAACTTTGATTATCTCATGAAATGGCTGGGCATCAGAACAAGACCACAGAGCAATGGAAGGAAGGTGCCTGGTCTGGTGAATCATGTTTTCTTTTACATCATGTGGGTGGTCAGATGCGTATGCATTGCTTACCTGGGAAAGAGATGGCACCAGGATGCAGGATGGGAAGAAGACAAGCAAGCTGAGGCAGTGTGATACTTTGAACGATGTTCTGTTGGGAAACTTTGGGTCGTGCCATTCATGTGGATGTTATTTTAACACGTACCACCTATCTAAACATCAATTGTTGACAAAGTATACACCCCTTCATGGAAATGGTATTCACTGATGGCAATGGGCAGCAGGACAATGCACCCTACCACAGTACAAAAAATGGTTCAAGAACGGTTTGAGGGACACAATACGTTTGAGGTGTTGATTTGGCCTCCAAATTCTCCAGATCTCAATTCAATCAAGCATCTGTGGATATGCTAAAAAAAACAAGTCTAATTCACAGAGGCTCCACCTCATAACTAAAAGGACAAAGGATCTGCCTTGGTGCCACATACCACAGCATACATTCAGAGGTCTAGTGAAGTTATGCCATAACTGGTTATGGTGGATGGTTATAATGTTATGGCTGGTTGGGGTATATTAATAGAAAAAAATTGATTAAATATCACCAAAAGAAGCTCGGTCTCAAAAGATGTAGCAGAATAATTGTCAAACGATCAGCACTAAAAACCTGCACAATAAGCTGGACAGGAAGGGGGGGTTACAGGCTGGCAGGGACATGGTTGGGCAACAATCTAATATCTGACACACTTTTATTTCTGAGTCTAAGCTGACAAAGATTTTGGAGCCAACAACCTAATGACAAAAAATAAGATGGAGTAGATTTCACTGAATGTTATTTATACAGAGAGGGGACCCCGTATCTGAGGAATATAGAGGGGTTGCTGTGTGTAGATTGGAAGAAAAGGGACCCCCATGTCAGAGGAATAAAGAAGGGTAATTGTATGTAGACTGGAAGAGAGAGGACCATGTGTCAGAGGAATATAGAAAGGTCTGCTGCATGTAGATTGCAAGAAAGGAAACCCCATGTCAAAGGGATAAAGAAGGGTCTGCTACATGTAGATTGGAAAGGAGGGGTCCCCATGTCAGAGGAATATAGAAGGGTCATTGTATGTAGAAAAGTAGTGAGGGTGTCATTTGATCTGTATAAAATCAGAGATTCACTCTATGGCATATACAGTTGTGTTCAAAATAATAGCAGTGTGTTGAAAAAAGTGAATAAAGCTCAAAATCCTTCTAACAGCTTTTATTTCCATCCACACAAATGCATTGGGAACACGACACATTCTATTCCAAATCAAAACATGAAGAAAAATATATCAAATTTGTGTTGCTCCTCTAAAAAAAAAAATTGAAGAAAAGTGAATATTAGACTGTTCAAAAAAAATAGCAGTGTTTTGTATTCTTCTTTACAAACTCAAACATTCACTACATAAACTGAAAAATGTTTGAAGATTTTGCTTTCCTTTGAATGACTTAATGAATATTTGGTTGTAGTCGCACTGTTTCTGAGAACTGCTGCACATCTGTGTTGTATGGAGTCACCCAACTTCTGGCCCCTGTGATCAGGTATTCCAGCCCAGGATGATTGGACTACATTCCACAGTTCTTCTCTATTTCTTGGTTTTGCCTCAGAAACTGCATTTTTGATGTCACCCCACAAGTTTTCTATTGGATTAAGATCCGGGGATTGGGCTGGCCACTCCATAACATCAATCTTGTTGGTCTGGAACCAAGATGTTGCACGTTTACTGGTGTGTTTGGGGTCGTTGTCTTGTTGGAACACCCATTTCAAGGGCATTTCCTCTTCAGCATAAGGCAGCATGACCCTCTTCAAGTATTCTGATGTATTCAAACAGATCCATGATCCCTGGTATGCGATAAATGGGCCCAACACCGTAGTATGAGAAACATCCCCATATCATGATGCTTGCACCACCATGCTTCACTGTCTTCACAGTGTACTGTGGCTTGAATTCAGTGTTTGAGGGTCGTCTGACAAACTGTCTCCGGCCACTAGACCCAAAAAGAACAATCTTTCATCAGTCCACAAAATGTTGCGCCATTTCTCTTTAGGCCAGTCACTGTGCTCTTTGGCAGATTGCAACCTCTTCAGCACGTCTTTTTTTCAACAGTGGGACTTTGCGGGGGCTTCTTGCAGATAGCTTGGCTTCACATAGGCATCTTCTAATTGTAACAGTCCTCACAGGGAACGTCACACCTTCTTTCATCTTCCTGGAGCTGATTGTTGGCTGAGTCCGCGCCATTTTGGCTATTCTTCTATCCATTCGAATGGTAGTTTTTCACTTTCTTCCACGTCTTTCAGGTTTTGGTTGCCATTCTAAAGCATTTGCGATCATTTTAGCTGAGCAGCCTATCATTTTCTGCACTTCTTTATATGTTTTCCCCTCTCCAATCAACTTTTTAATTAAGGTACGCTGTTCTTCTGAACATTGTCTGGAACGACCCATTTTCCTCAGAATTTCATAGAGAAATGCACTGTAACCAGCATGTACAACATTTGCTGCCTTCCTTCCTTAAATAAGGGCAATAATTGCCACCTGTTTTTTAAAGAATGAATGGCCTCACTAATAGAACTCCACACTGCTATTATTTTGAACACGCCCCTTTCAATTAGTGATTCAATTACACAGAATCAGCAGCATGCATGTCATGACTGTTGGGTCTGTTGGATTTCTATTACTCTACTACACCTGCTAGTAAATTATTTGCCATGTAGAAATATCATTTCTACCAAAAACAGTGATTGATCCGGTTAGTGATGTCTGACTGCTATTATTTTGAACACAACTGTATATGGTCCACTCAGGCAGGAGCACAGCAAACATCTGGCCATTGCTTGTTCCGTAACACACTGAGCCACACTTGCGAGGCCCTTTTATGAAAAGATTAGAAGGACTCCTTTCTTTGTGTCACAGATATATTTATATTCCCTTTATTTGTGAAAAAGATATTGCACAGATATATGAAAACCGAAGCACACAGGTTATAATAGCACCCATTATCCTCAGTGAGCACAGTCCCTGCTAAGAACCATTTTGCCATTCTGGGGGGCTGTTGTACATTTTTTAAAAAATGAGGTAAAAATAATTAACAAGACTAACAAAAACATTCCTCAGTCTAAATCTTAGCATCCTCTGCACCAATGTCATGGCACAGGAGTTTAAGAGGTGAAAGAAAGCAGCATATCACATGACTGAGATCAGACAATGTGCGTAAACTTTGCCACTGTCCACAATATTCCCTTCCACACATCATTCTATTCAGTGCTCCAAACTTAGATCTAGATCAGAAATCATAAAATCCAACGTACACAAGTGAAATAGGACCTTAGATGTACATGACACCAGAGATGTTGACAGTCTGGGGCTCTACAATGCAGTACAAAGTGCCCCTGTTGTAGTCAAAGAGTCAGAGCCTGCACCCCCCAGCTATAAGACAGACTGCACTCGGAGAAAATCAAACACTGACAACTTTATTCATTCTGAAACAAGAACAGAGCATCTGCTATGATTAAGTTCAGCCTTGTTGGTAAAACGCATCAGCAGAGTGGGACCTAGGACGGTGGATGTCTGGATGAATAAAGTTATCAGTGCTTGAATTTTTTTTAGAATTCAGCTGGTCTATTCCTTTAGATTTGGGCAGTTAGGGGTCATAGGAATGGCCCCCACTGTCGTTAAGCACCCAATTTTCCATGAAGGTGGCCCGATTCAAGGCTTGGGAGAGGCATACTCCATATCCTCTAAAGTAGGCAAATAGTGACCCAAAGAAGTTGTACAACCATCGTAGTGCCCCAACCTGAACGACTGCAACTGCCCAGTATCTGTCAATGGCAACACAAAAGTGCAGTGCAAACTGTGGCATTCACAATGCTTAGTAAACTTCGAAAAAACAGAGCAAGAGATCTGACAGATGGAAGAGAGCGATTCTTTCCATAGTGAAATTTATATCACATCACTTCTAGGGATGACAGATCTTCACTCCTTCATAATGGCAAACTGATTTACCATTAGATGCTGCAAATTTTCCCAACGCAGCCAGCACCAAAAAGAAAAAAAAAGAAATACAAAACGGACTTGAGATCTGAAGACAAGATAAGAAAATGCAGCATAAACAATTAAAAAATAAATTTAAAAAATGTGCAATACCACTCAATGCCAATAATAAAAAAATCACTAATTCTATTTAGTTCGAGTTGCATTAAAAAATTGAAACAATGGAAGCCTTAATCTCACGCACTGTCTACACTCCGGAAGGGTCTTCGTTGGATCTCCCTGAAGGTTAGGCACTGAGCCTGCCATATTCCAGGGCAATGGTGGATCTCGGTGATCTACAGATTAATGATGGTGCAGTGCCTCTAGATTTCTATGCTCCAGATGAGGGTGACTTATGATTCAAGGCAATGGCCACCCTCGGTAATCTACAGATTAATGACGACGCGGGGTCTCCATATCCTGGATATGGGCGAATTGTGTGTCTGTATAGAGAGGATTCGTTGTACAGTACTTCGTGGCACATACCGTCTGTGACCGCACCACCCTCTCCGCTTACTTTTCAGTTCTTGGTGGACGTAGAGCTTGCACTATGCCCACAGTATTGGATAGGAGACTAAAGCGTTGGAGATGGGCGCTAGCTATGTTTCGAAGGAGGGTATGAGCAAGGAGAGGGAATGACGGAGGATTCGATGATCTGCAGAACATTAGCAGTGATAAGGAATGTGATATTCAAGTAGTTTCTTGCAGATTTTAGCTCGTCAGGTCCACAAAGATGGCCTTTGTAGTGGTTTGTCCAAAGATGAATGCTCCAAGTGTTACCATGGCGACACCATAAGAGATCATGGCCCACCAGCTAAGAAAAAGAGTAAGGGAAACAGTTAGGCGACATGGCCCTGGTCTGTCTTTATGAGCCCACCCACATACAATGCTGTGATCCATTACGCACCAAGAACCCACTACTGGATGCAGAGAACACCCCAATGCAAATTTACCCCTCTTTCCATTCTGTCCCCCCGTCAACCAGTCTGTACCCCAAACATCACTCCCTGGTGCCCATCCTGTGCCCCACATGCTGTTCCTGGCATCCAGCCTGTTGCCGCCCCCCCCCCCCCCCCCCAACACAAACTACCCACTGTACTGTATTAAAAAATCATCCTTACCTTTTGCTTTTTTGCTCCTGAATCTCGGAAAGTTTCAGATTGATGAGACACAGACCTGCTCAAAACAGATTTTAATCAGAATTAGGAAATCTACCCGATTCAACCCAATTCACAAAGGAATGGAGGCAAAAAACAGGACATAGTGGGGATTGTAGACAAGTTTGTACAGAGCTCCCAAACTAAAGGCAAAAGGAGCCACAGAGTAAATCATCAATTTCCATGCATCTCTGTACCAGTAGAAAAGTCTACTTTGCTGGTCAGGGGCTTCCCTTCTTTAACCTGATAGCCAAACACTTAAAGCGGAAGGAATCCAAAGTGTGTTACCTGGCAACCCCTGACACTAGTGGTATATTTTGGTTTTGTGCTGCCCTAGGCAAGATTAAAATGCTCCCCCCCCTAAATTTGCCACACCCATTCCTGTTTAAAGAGGTAGTAAAGCCCCATTGTTTACTTGTACCTACAGAAAAGCCTAAAGAAAGGCTTACCTATAGGTACAGTAACTATCTCCTAAGCGTTTAGGAGATATTTACAATAGCCTGCACAGTTTTGGAGATATTTACTATATTAGCAGCCAGTGATGTCACTGCCTCATGCACACTGCACACTCAATGGATACGGGAGATGGTCAGAGACGGCCGACGGGATACGGGAGGTGGTCAGAGACGGCCGACGGGATACGGGAGGTGGTCAGAGACGGCCGACGGGATACGGGAGGTGGTCAGAGACGGCCGACGGGATACGGGAGGTGGTAAGAGACGGCCGACGGGATACGGGAGGTGGTAAGAGACGGCCGACGGGATACGGGAGGTGGTAAGAGACGGCCGACGGGATACGGGAGGTGGTAAGAGACGGCCGACGGGATACGGGAGGTGGTAAGAGACGGCCGACGGGATACGGGAGGTGGTAAGAGACGGCCGACGGGATACGGGAGGTGGTCAGAGACGGGATACGGGGCCGACGGCCGGGATACGGGAGGTGGTAAGAGACGGCCGACGGGATACGGGAGGTGGTAAGAGACGGCCGACGGGATACGGGAGGTGGTCAGAGACGGCCGACGGGATACGGGAGGTGGTAAGAGACGGCCGACGGGATACGGGAGGTGGTCAGAGACGGCCGACGGGATACGGGAGGTGGTCAGAGACGGCCGACGGGATACGGGAGGTGGTCAGAGACGGCCGACGGGATACGGGAGATGGTCAGAGACGGCCGACGGGATACGGGAGATGGTCAGAGACGGCCGACGGGATACGGGAGATGGTCAGAGACGGCCGACGGGATACGGGAGATGGTCAGAGACGGCCGACGGGATACGGGAGATGGTCAGAGACGGCCGACGGGATACGGGAGATGGTCAGAGACGGCCGACGGGATACGGGAGATGGTCAGAGACGGCCGACGGGATACGGGAGATGGTCAGAGACGGCCGACGGGATACGGGAGATGGTCAGAGACGGCCGACGGGATACGGGAGATGGTCAGAGACGGCCGACGGGGAGATGGTCAGAGACGGCGGACTGGACACGGAAGATGGTCAGAGACGGCGGACAGGATACGGAAGATGGTCAGAGACGGCGGACAGGATAGGGAAGATGGTCAAAGACGGGCGGACAGGCTATAGGAGACCATTCATGCTCATCATAGGAAATAGAAAATTCTCCTACAAATGCTTTCCATTTGCTTACCTCTCGGTATAGTACGATTTTATGAAGATCCCAGTCGCTCTCCCCCCCTCAGTCCCTTCTGCCTGGGGGGGCAGCGCCGCCCAAAGCAAACACTATGTTTGCCTCGCGGTAGATACGTCCCTGCCTGAAACCCAGAAATAGATGCTACTGCTGGTACAGAGCCATGAATTACTCCTCTCAGCGGCTCCTTCTCCTTACACATGCAGACTGTAGTTGGAAAGCTTTCCTCTCATACAACCTTGCCGATGGCCTAAGACGTAGAAAAGGTCATCTCCTAGATTTGAACATGCACCACTCCTCCAGAAATCCTATGAGTGCAATATCCGATTTATCCATTAGGCCTCACACAGGATATTGTTCTAACTCTCCTACAAGCCCTTCCACCTAGCACCAACGTTTTGGCAGAAAAAACACCTGACGGTTGTAAAAGTATGTAATGCGCTTAGGTGCGTCAATTGCTTGGGCTTTAATTTATTTAATTGGCCAAAATAATTATTCTAGCAACGGAAATTAACGCTTAAGCGCGCCTGGCACTTAGGTGCATTTACATGTGTCAAATGTTCCTTCTGCCAAAATGCTGTTGCTCCTGGACGCACTGGAAGTGGGTTTCCTTTCTGCCTTTAAACTCCTCCAAAAGCCTGTGTGCACAAGGACACATAGACTAACATGCAGTGGCATTTAGAGACAAAAAAAAAGAAGCCAGACACCCCTAGGAGCAGCTGAAAAAAGGTCCAGTGTGAATGAGGCCTAACAGGTCAATTTGATTATATACTCAAAGTGGTTGTTCTTCCATTATGCAGTGTCAGATGCAGCTTTGCAAGAGGAGGATATGGAGACAATCCTCACAAAAACTGTAACAATTAAACACAATTTACGGTATGCTAATAGAAGCCAGGTGTGCACATGTTAAATTACAAATCAACCACACATTGTGGAAGAGCACAGTATACACAACAATGAATTATGTTGCAATGAGTAACCCCCCCTTCACAACACCCTGTACCACAATAACAGCGCAACCCCCCCCCCCTTTCTCCACCACAATGTACATCTAACCTGGAAATATAAATATGAAGCAGGCTGCCAGCCCTCCGACCAGGGAGATGACTCTGCCTATATCCGGGATGAAGAGCGCCAGCAGCAGCGTCAGCATAAACCAGATTAGTGTCTGTAGGATTCGGCGGCGGCGCTCTCGCCGTGGCTCCTCCCCCGCTTCCTGAGCGGTAAATCTCAGCCAGAGTCCCTCCAACACCGCCCTGTGAACAAAAAATTCCTGATATCACACAGGTAATAGCATGTATCACACATGTAATAGCACACATCTTCTTCCCACCCTTCCAGTTAAACAAGGCCTCTTTATGGTCTCAGGAGCCACTTCTATCAACAGAAGGTCTAGTTTCCATCCCAATATCCCTCTTCAAGGATCTTGCTATCCTAACTGGTCTGAATCCTTGCCTGAGAAAATGCAGCCAGCATGTTCCCAGGTTCCTGTGACACCCTCAATCTGAACACAGAATGGGCAATTTTTTTTTTTTTTAGTTTTCCTGCTTCAGCAATGCAGCTTTACCTCTCTCCTCATTGAACTTGAATCGGCATCCTTACCTCCGTCCCATAAGAAGATCCAGGGAGTACCACAGTGATGTAAAGACTAACAGAGCTAGATCACCAGACTGGCTGGTCAAAATGGAAGGAAATAAAGCTTCCCCTGCTGAAAATTGTTGAGAGTGGCATGCACCACATTAATAAAGCATATTGGTGCGGGGAGAGGGAGATAACACAAGCAACATATCTCAACTATTAAAGGATAGGTTCACCTTTTGGAACATGTTCATACTGTAGGGTTGAACATGTAACATGTTCCAGCAGCTGCAACCTCTCTCTCTCTCCCCCCACCCCTCTGACAGTGGGCGGGGGATTCTCTCCCGCTGTCACAATTTGAAAATACCGCAGCCATGCGGGGCTCTGCTCACACAGCCACGTTATTCACTCATTTTCCTGTGAATGAATGCCTACAAGTACCGTCAGCCATTGCGGCTGATGGCTTGTAGTTCTCGAACTGCGAGGGCGCTGGTGAGCGCACTCACAGTCCATTGATTCCTCCTGCAGCAGCCTGAGAATGCACCCGCAATCTGTTGATTTGGAGTGCAATGCTCTGGAGGCTCCTTAGAAAAAAAATAAATACATTATTTTTTTTCGCTGCAAAAAAATACGCATTTCAAAAGGTGAACTTATTCTTTATCAAAAGGGACTGTTTTCTCATTTTAGAAGAGTGGTGCAGCCTTTATGCCTGTGTTACACTCTTAATTCCCCCCGCTGTGTGTGTGTAGTCTATTGTCCTATCAATATATTTACAACCCCTGTGAACCCAGCTATTTTGATGGAGCTGTTCTTATTTTACAGGGCAGTTAGTCCATCTTTGGATGGAACTCTCAGTACAGTGTTTGCCTGCTGTGTGAACAATCTCCGGGGATGAGCAACTACAACTATAAGGCAACAAAAACAGTAGTTGTGAAAGGGGAAGCTGTACAGTGGGATCTAGTGAAGAGAACGTGGTGAAAAGCAGCAGATGGAACTGACCGGCCGCAGTAGTGAAGAATCGGGTAGGAGGTGAGTACGCATACAATGATGAAAGCACGGGCCACAGCCACTGGCACATCATTGGATGGGAAGGAGAGGAGGACGTCCTGGTCCACACCGGAGCCAAACAGCAAGTACCCGCACACCCCTAAAGACATGACAGCGAAGGGACACGACATAGTTACATCACGCAGATGACATCATACTAAAAAGGAACTCATAATACACAAAGAGGCCTCGGAAAATCTTCACAATGGCTGGACACAGCTATTATTTCACATAGATATTTCATTCAAACTTTATTTGCTTAACAGACAGGAAGGATGAAGAAAGTTATTTGCCACAGAGTTCCTGTTAAGTGAAGTCTATAAGACCCTACAACCCCACAAGGACTCTGCCCAGCTCACAAAGGGCTCCTCCCTCACATTAGAAGAACTTATAATGTGATTGGCTGCAGAGCTCCTGTTATGTGAAGTCTATAAAACCCTAGGAGGACTCCTAGTTCACCTCATATATGAAGAATGTCAAAGCTTACCTGTCCCAGTGTAGACACACAAGGCAATAAACATGGCGGCCGTCACTATGATCGCCCAGCGTCGTATATCCTGCTGCTGCATGCTGCCATACACGGGGACACTACTGACATGGCACTGCGGACATAGCGGGTAGAAGGTGAGGATGGGTACACACTGGTAATTACTGGACAGACACCACAATAATATCTGCATACCTGATATCCAAAGCAGATGGTGGGGACAGCATTGAAGACTGCAATCCAAGAGGAGGCTCTGGGGAGACAAGTGGAATGTCAGCCTCTAAAGACACGGAAGCAGCGGGAGGACAAGACACAAGAGAAGTGGAGGCAGGGGGAAGCCAAGACACAGGGAATAAAAATCATGGGGAGGACAAGGCATAAGGCAAGAGACGCGGGAGGACAAGACACAGGGGAAGAGATGCGGAAGAAGAGGGAGGACAAGACACAGGGGAAGAGACGCGGAAGAAGAGGGAGGACAAGACACAGGGGAAGAGACGCGGAAGCAGGGGGAGGACAAGACACGGGAAGAGACGCGGAAGCAGGGGGAGGACAAGACACAGGGGAAGAGACGCGGAAGCAGCGGGAGGACAAGACACAGGGAAGAGACGCGGAAGCAGCGGGAGGACAAGACACAGCGGAAAGCGGAAGCAGCGGGAGGACAAGACACAGCGGAAGAGACGCGGAAGCAGCGGGAGGCAAGACACAGGGGAGGACAAGACACAGGGGACAAGAAGAGACGCGGAAGCAGCGGGGGACAAGACACAGGGGAAGAGATGCGGAAGCAGCGGGAGGACAAGACACAGGGGAAGAGACGCCAAAGCAGTGGGAGGACAAGACACAGGAGAAGAGACGCGGAAGCAGTGGGATGACAAGACACAGGGGAAGAGATGCGGAAGCAGGGGGAGGACAAGACACAGGGGAAAACACAGAGACAGCGGGAGGATAAGACACAGGGGGAAGAGACGCAAAAGAAGCGGGAGGACACGACACAGGGGAAGAGACGCGGAAGCAGCGGGAGGACAAGACACAGGGGAAAACACGCCGAAGCAGCGGGAGGATAAGACACGGGGAAGAAGAGGAGCGATGGCGGGGGGAAGAGGAGATGTGGAAGCCGTACCTGGATGGAATATACGCTGGGATCTGCTCATGTGGCTGGGCGCAGCGGAAGATGACAATAAACGTTACATAACATGTCCCGAGAACACTGAGCGAGCTGCAAGAGACATATTATCAGCCATAACAAGAACTCAGTACAAGAGATGGGATGACGCAGAATACGCATATGGGGCAGTCAATCACTGTATGTCAATTCCATCAACTGTTTTACCATGCCCTCAAACTTGCTGTGCCTATGAGGGGTTCCCACCATACCTGTGCTGAGTTCCAGGGTCTGTACACCTGCTGTGCCCATTATGAGGGGTTCCCACCATACCTGTGCTGACTTTCCAGGTTTGTACACCTGCTGTGCTCATTATTAAGTGCTCCCACCATAACATGATAATGAAACGCACTGGATACAGACATGGTTGGCTCACCTTGCATATTTTTGTACACTGATCTCGCGAGGTAGAGACAGCGGCAGAATGAATAAAATTCCTGTGATGGTGATTGTGAACTTCCTGTCAGCATACCAGGGAACACTGCTCCCCGCCAGAGAAGGCATCATGGCTCCAAGAACTGCACACAAACAGCAGAGACACGGCAGAGTCAGTTGAGCACAGGTCAACTCATTCTGGACTGAGGTTTCTGTACAGGATGGCAGTCAGTCCCCGTAGGAAGGGAGCCCTGATGGGGCCACAGGCGAGTCACTGGCTGGCACCTGCTCCATTAGGAGGAACCAACATTGTCACCCTGGGGAAGACTACACCCACCCAAGTTCAAAACACAAACACTGCCACAACCAGTGGCGGCTCTCCAGCATCGCGCTGTCAGGAGGGACTCACGTTTGTCAAGTTGGTCGCCGATAATGATGAAGAAGGCGATGCATGTCCCAAAGGTGTAAACGGCGATGAGGATCTCACACAGCACGCCAGTAAGCCGTCCACAGATCCCCCGTACAACCTCCTGATACGTCCGCTCACTGCAGGCATCCGCACAGTGCGCCAGGATCACCAGACCGCTGATGATAAAGAGCAGCAACACCTGCAGGAGGGTAGACACAATACATAATCATAGGGTACAAATAAATAATGATGCGGCACGGGGGGCTGCAGTGAAGCGCACTTACCAGCTGCAACACAATCCCAGCTGTGACTCCTCCCGCTGCGCTGAAGGCGGCTGGGAAATTCAGCAGACCAGCCCCCAGGGCAGCATTCACCACGATGAAGACGGCTCCAATGGCGGATGTCCCTCCAGGCAGACGTCGGGTCTCTGGGACAATGGGGCTCTGCAGGAGGCGGGCCCGTTCCCCAGCATCCCACGAGTAGTCATCGTTGATGGCCACGTTCCTCAGGGACATTGTATTCGGGAAGAGGGAGACACCATCCGTGTGTGTGCTGTATGAGAAGAGAGACAGTCACATGACAAGGGCAGGGTCACATGGCCAGAGCACACAATAACCTCTTCCTGACTGAAAGCTGCTGAGCCGGCACTACAGGAGTCATCTCTTCCTCTTCTAGAGGACCTCTCACCCACATTCCTCGGACATCAGGAAAACTGGACCAGGGGCCACACACCTACCACTGGGGGAGGTGAGACACTCGACAAAGACAGTCCAACATTATAAGGGAAGGAGGGGTACTATGAGGGGGGAGTATGGGGGTGATACAAGAGGGATGGGGGTACTGTGAGGGGGAATGTGGGGGTGACATAAGGGGAGGAGGATACTATGAGGGGGAATGTGGGGGTGATATAAGGGGGAGGAGGATATGTGGGGGCAATATAAGGGGGAGGAGGATACTACAAGTGGGAATGTGGGGGTGATATAAGGGAGAGGAGGATACTACGAGGGGGAATGTGGGGGTGATATAAGGAAGAGGAGGATACTACGAGGGGAAATGTGGGGGTGATATAAGGAAGAGGAGGATACTACGAGGGGAAATGTGGGGGTGATATAAGGAAGAGGAGGATACTACGAGGGGAAATGTGGGGGTGATATAAGGAAGAGGAGGATACTACGAGGGGAAATGTGGGGGTGATATAAGGAAGAGGAGGATACTACGAGGGGGAATGTGGGGGTGATATAAGGAAGAGGAGGATACTACGAGGGGGAATGTGGGGGTGATATAAGGAAGAGGAGGATACTAGGAGGGGAAATGTGGGGGTGATATAAGGAAGAGGAGGATACTACGAGGGGGAATGTGGGGGAGATATAAGGAAGAGGAGGATACTACGAGAGGGAATTGTGGGGGTGATATAAGGAAGAGGAGGATACTACGAGGGGGAATGTGGGGGTGATATAAGGGAGACGAGGATACTACGAGGGGAATGTGGGGGTGATATAAGGGGGAGGAGGATACTACGAGGGGGAATGTGAGGGTGATATAAGGGGGAGGAGGATACTACGAGGGGGAATGTGGGAGTGATATAAGGGAGAGGAGGATACTACGAGGGGGAATGTGGGGGTGATATAAGGGAGAGGAGGATACTACGAGGGGGAATGTGGGGGTGATATAAGGAAGAGGAGGATACGAGGGGGAATGTGGGGGTGATATAAGGGGGAGGAGGATACTACGAGGGGGAATGTGGGGGAGATATAAGGGAGAGGAGGATACTACGAGGGGGAATGTGGGGGTGATATAAAGGGGAGGAGGATACTACGAGGGGGAACGTGGGGGTGATATAAGGGAGAGGAGGATACTACGAGGGGGAACGTGGGGGTGATATAAGGGAGAGGAGGATACTACGAGGGGGAACGTGGGGGGGTGATATAAGGGGGAGGAGGATACTACGAGGGGGAATGTGGGGGTGATATAAGGGGGAGGAGGATACTACGAGGGGGAATGTGGGGGGTGATATAAGGGGGAGGAGGATACTACGAGGGGGAACGTGGGGGGTGATATAAGGGGGAGGAGGATACTGCGAGGGGGAACGTGGGGGTGATATAAGGGGCAGGAGGATACTACGAGGGGGAACGTGGGGGTGATATAAGGGGGAGGAGGATACTACGAGGGGGAACGTGGGGGTGATATAAGGGGGAGGAGGATACTACGAGGGGGAATGTGGGGGTGATATAAGGGGGAGGAGGACACTACGAGGGGGAATGTGGGGGTGATATAAGGGGGAGGAGGATACTACGAGGGGGAATGTGGGGGTGATATAAGGAAGAGGATACTACGAGGGGGAATGTGGGGGTGGTATAAGGGGGAGGAGGATACTATGAGGGGGAGTGAGGGGTGATATAAGGGGATAAGGAATACTAGGAGGAGGGAGAACGTGGGGGTGATATAAGGGGGAGGAGGATACTACGAGGGGGAATGTGGGGGTGATATAAGGGGGAGGAGGATACTACGAGGGGGAATGTGGGGGTGATATAAGGGGGAGGAGGATACTACGAGGGGGAATGTGGGGGTGATATAAGGGGGAGGAGGATACTACGAGGGGGAATGTGGGGGTGATATAAGGGGGAGGAGGATACTACGAGGGGGAATGTGGGGGTGATATAAGGGGGAGGAGGACACTACGAGGGGAATGTGGGGGTGATATAAGGGGGAGGAGGATACTACGAGGGGGAATGTGGGGGTGATATAAGGAAGAGGATACTACGAGGGGGAATGTGGGGGTGGTATAAGGGGGAGGAGGATACTATGAGGGGGAGTGAGGGGTGATATAAGGGGGATAAGGAATACTAGGAGGGAGAACGTGGGGGTGATATAAGGGGAGGAGGATACTACGAGGGGGAATGTGGGGGTGATATAAGGGGGAGGAGGATACTACGAGGGGGGAATGTGGGGGTGATATAAGGGGGAGGAGGATACTACGAGGGGGAATGTGGGGGTGATATAAGGGGGAGGAGGATACTACGAGGGGGAATGTGGGGGTGATATAAGGGGGAGGAGGATACTACGAGGGGGAATGTGGGGGTGATATAAGGAACAGGATACTACGAGGGGGAATGTGGGGGTGGTATAAGGTGGAGGAGGATACTACGAGGGGGAGTGAGGGGTGATATAAGGGGGATAAGGAATACTAGGAGGGAGAACGTGGGGGTGATATAAAGGGGGGGGGGGTACTATGAGGAAGAATGTTGAGGTGATATAAGAAAGAGGGGTACTACAGGGGGAATATTATAAGGGAAAAAGGAGAAAAATAGGGGGAGGGGAGGAGGAGTAATATGTGAAGTACAAAGATTAATGTGGGGTAATAAAAATGAAGAGGATGGGTAACTGGAAATGCCAGGGGGAAGGGGTAGGGGGTATTCGAGAGCGGAGGAGTATTTTGAGGGGGAGGACTAGTAATAAGGAGGAGGAGGGGTATGATGAAGAGAAGGGGGGTGTTGTGAATGGAGGAGGGATACTAAAGGGGGCAGAAGAGGTATTTGAACAGTAAAATGAGTATTGTGAGGGGAGGAGCGAGTGTAATATAGGAAGAGGAGTACAATGGGGGGGGGAGGGTATTAGGAGTATCATGAAGGGGAGGGGTACAAGGGTGGGGGAGCAGGGAGTATTATGAGGTAGGGAGGGGTACAATGGGGAGGAATATTATCAGGGGAGGGTGTATTATGAGGGGAGGGGGGTACAACTAGGGGGAGGAAAGGTAATTAAAATGAATTATATTGGGGGGGCATTTTTGCAGAAGGAATGCTATGGAGGGAGAAGGTGTAACTAAGGGATTATTATGGGGAGGGGTAATAATTTGGGTCGAGGGTTACACATCGCTCCCCTCACCTGCCCAGCCGCTCCTCACCCGGCACGTGACCACCCCCTCTTATCACATGACCACCAAACGGTCAGCTGGGAGATGTAGTGAGTGGGACTACTTCCGGTCCGCCTGTGCGGTGGGAGGGACCTCCGCGGACATAATAATCGAAACCTTCAGGTAGTCCTCAGCAGGTCGTGTCCCCTTGCTGCGTGCGCGCCCCCGACAGCTATAACGCGCTCTACCATTTTTGCGAGGTCACGTGAGACAGAGCTGTACCAGCCACGCCCACAAGTCACGACAGTCTCCGCCTTCCCAGGATTGTGCAGCTTCGGCTTCCTACTCGGTGATGAGTCCTTATCACCATAGAGACCGCAGTCCAACCCATATTGATTCTATCCAACCGGAGCTCCCCCCCAAGCTGCCATTTCCCCGCCCCAGCCTCGGATCGGCCAGTGTAGAAGCAGCAAAGTGATGAGACTGCTCCTATCCGCACATGTGCAGACAGCATCTCTCATTGGTTCTCAGTGCTTGCCCCTCCCTCTCCCAACTTGAACTCTGCTGTCCAGGGATGGCAGGAAACTCATACAATGTCCAAGTCAGGTATTTATACTATCTGCACCTGAAAGGACAAATCAGCCTTAACCTGGAGTACACTATATTGCCAAAAGTATTGGCCCCGCCCTCCATATCATGTGATTCAGGTGTTCCAATCCCCTCCATGGCCACAGGTGTAAAAAATCAAGCCAACAGATCATAAGCGAAATCTCCTGCGCTCAAGGACCCAGGCGGGTGGTGAATAGATGGAACCAGACCTGGAAAGATCGACCACCAATGCATGTAGAGTTGTGCAGCTCCAAATAAGGCTGGGGAAGCCCGACCAATACTGCAAATCGAAACAAAAACGAGAAGCACACCAACCTTGCGCATTACCTCAGTAACCAAAGTTTATTAATTATAAAATAATACAAATAGCGAATAAAATCAGGCATGTAAGTCCTAAAAGGGACCTGAAAGATAAAGAGCCAGCGCGGATCCCATCATGGGGGTAGATACTCAGTACAATTGACGCGTTTCGAAGAGCTCTGAAGAAGGGATACCCTTCAAAACGCGTCAGCTGTACTGAGTATCTACCCCCATGATGGGATCCGCGCTGGCTCTTTATCTTTCAGGTCCCTTTTAGGACTTACATGTCTGATTTTATTCGCTATTTGTATTATTTTATAATGAATAAACTTTGGTTACTGAGGTAATGCGCAAGGTTGGTGTGCTTCTGGTTTTTGCATAAAATCATCACCTAGGCATGCAGACTGCTGCTACAAACATTTGTGAAAGAATGGGTCGCTCTCAGGAGCTCAGTGACTCCAAGCGAGGTCCCGGGATAGGTGGCCACCTGTGCAATAAGTCCATCCGTGACATTTCCTGGCTACTAAATATTCCACGGTCAACTGTTAGTGGGATTATAACAAAGTGGAAGCAACTGGGAACAACAGCAACTCAGCCACCAAGTGGTAGGCCACGTCACATGACAGAGCGGGGTCAGGGCATGATGAAGCGCACAGTGCACAGGACTCACCAACTGTCTGCAGAGTCAATAGCTAAAGACCTCCAAACTTCGTGTGGCCTTCAGATTAGCCCAACAACCGTGCATAGAAAGCTTCATGGAATGGGTTTCCATGGCCGAGCAGCTGCATCCAAGCCTTACATCACCAAGTGAAATGTAAAGTGTCAGATGCCGTGGTGTAAAGCACGCCGCCACTGGAGTCTAGAACAGTTGAGATGTGTTCTCTGGAGTGACCAATCACACTTCTCTGTCTGGCAATCCAATGGACATGTCTGGGGTTTGGCGGTGGCCAGGAGAACGGCACTTGCCTGACTGCATTGTGCCAAGTGTAAAGTTTGGTGGAGGGGGATTATGGTGTGGGGTTGTTTCTCAAGGGTTGGGCTTGCCCCCTAGTTCCAGGGAAGGGAACTCTTAAGGCATCAGCATACCAAGACATTTTGGACAATTTCATGCTCCCAACTTTGTGGGAAGAGTTTGGGGATGGCCTCTTCCTGTTCCAACATGACTGCCCCCCAGGGCACAAAGCAAGGTCCATAAAGACATGGATGAGTGAGTTTGGGGTGGAAGAACTTGACTGGCCTGCATAGAGTCCTGACCTCAACCCCATAGAACACCTTTGGGATGAATTAGAGCAGAGACTGTGATCCAGGCCTCCTCCCCCGACATCAGTGCCTGACCTCACAAATGTGCTTCTGGAAGAATGGTCCAACCTTCCCATAGACACCCTCCTAAACCTTGTGGACGGCCTTCCCAGAAGAGTTGAAGCTGTTATAGCTGCAAAGGGCGGGGCCAACTCAATATTGAACCCTACGGACTAAGACTGGGGGGGCCATTAAAGTTCATGTGTGTAAAGGCCGGCCGACCAATACTTGAGGCAATATAGTGTATATTATACTCCCTCACTGAATGCCTGGTGTTACTGCCACTCCTCCAAAATACCCAGTGTCATAGTCCCTCCCCACCTGAATATCCAATAACATTGGCCTATCCCCCCCCCCCCCCCCTCAAATATCCAGTGCCACCACTTCTCCCCCACTGAATACCCAGTGTCCTTGCTTCTGTTCCAGTGTCAACACTTCTCCCCCAGTAAATACTCGGTGTCATTGTTCCTACTCCCGAATACCCAGTATTGCTGTCCTACCCCTCCAAGTGTGCAGTGTCACTGCTTCTCCACTGAATGCCTACTGTCACTGCTCCTCCTCCACTGAACGCTCAGTGTTTCCACTCCCCCCCAATACCCAGTGTCAATGCGCTGTTTTCCCCCCCCCCCCCCCCACTGAACATCCAGTGTCACCACACCTCCCCCTGAATACCCAATGTCACTGTACTGTTTTGTATATTTCTGTGGTCAGAGAGAGGTGACAGGGCCTCTTTAACCCTTTTATGACAGAATGCAATCCAAACCCAGTATCACAGCTCTCATGTGTTATCATTTTGACCACATCAGTGAAGTGCACCACATTCTGTTCAGGACACATCCAACCTTCATAGGGTGGCCAATAATGGAGATCACATGACCCAAAAATGGTCACTTTCACACCCAAAATTATTTTATTATATTTGTGTACAAAATTTGGAAACTGGCTGAGGCATTTAAAGATTTAACACAATGTCATTGGGATTTATTGAAGGAAAATTCCCAGAACAGTCTACTGGGGTTACTGGAGGGTGGGACCCTCTGATCTCCTTGTGAATCATTCAAGTCATACAGCTAGTGGTGTATTTTGCCCTAGGCAAGAGTAAGTTCCCCCCACCCTATGTGGGAGAAGAGGGGAGGGGGGGGGGGGGGGGAAGAGGGGAGGGGGGGGGGGGGGAGAAGAGGGGAGGGGGGGGAGCTTTCAGCACTCACCCGCTGTCCAGCATGGGAGCCATGATCAGGAAAGCCCAACATTTTCCTTCTGTGCTGATCTCTGAAAATGATCCAGGAACGAGAGTTGGACAACCTTCAGCAGCCCACAGCCTCCACTGCTGTGCCTCACCTGCTCCCCCATCCTCAGCCATGTGTGTCACTTCTGCTGGGGGAAGGTGTTGCCCCCCTTAAAAATGCCACCCTAGGCAAATGCCTTGTGGTAACTACACCCCCTGCACAGGGGTGGACTGACCATTTGGAAACTCGGGCACTTCCCAAGGGCCCAGAGTCAGTAGGAGGCCCCATGAGATGCCCCTGGTACCTTTTTCATAGGCTTTTTTGAGTTTGGGCAAGGACACAGGGGCCCCATGATCCCCTATTGCCCGGGGGCCCCATGAGCTGTCAGTCCGCCCCTGCATACAGCCTGCCTACTCCACTTGAGGTCTACCTCCACTGTCCAAGGAGATGAAGGTTCATTGACCTATAGTATAGCAAATGAGGTGTGCTCTAAGGTGCTGGTTCTGGAAAGACACAAACTAGAACTCTTCCCAACATTATACTGGAGATGTGGTACTGGCTCCTAAGCAAGTCATAGACCCTTCAGGGAGGGGGGCCCAAGCTGACCCATTGCTTGTTGACATGAGGCAGAAAGAAAAAAAAAAAAAAAATTATGGCAAGTACCTGATACAAATGTTCCATTATTGTATCTTTTTATACAGAATTCGTATTTAGTGAAGAGAAATGAATACAATGTATCCTTCCAAAAGGAACAGTACAAGGTGGTTTCCATTCACAGGTCACAGCCCAGTGTGTATCCCTAAAAACATAATATAGGTAAGCACACAGGAAAATAAAAAAAAAAAAAAAAAAGACAAAAGCTGCTAGCATAAAGGATGAACCCCTGTATCCTCCAACAATTTGTAAACAAGTATGCAGCACTATCTATAGAAAGTGATTAGCGCTTAGGAACGTAGAATCTAACTTTGTGAACAAGGGTACAAAGAAGTGCAAGATGCAAAAGTGCAAAGTGATGAATCTCATCTTCTGAATGAAGAGTTCAAATGTGAATGGATGTGTCAAAAAAAAAAAAAAAAAAAAAAAAAATGGATACAATTATTGATATTTATGATTTATTTTTACTAACATGTAAAACTATCCGACACTATGATATTATAGTCCACTCCAAACAAAATGTGAATAGATGAATAAGCAAATAAATGGTGAATAATAGTAATCGATATAAAATGATGCTCAGATATATGGTGACGATCATCCATAAATACAGTGCAATGGAGATGGTGAATGAAACTTCTGTGCTCGTGACTTCTCATGGTAAAAAGGAGAGATGCTTGCACTCACCAGAAGCACAAGTTTAATTGCGCATGTAATAATAGCCAAGAAGAACACAGGTGGCCATCAGGGATCTGGTCAGCAGCAGGGGGCTCCACTGGTATACACACAGGATTGGCACTCCAAACCTCTCCACCGGACCCTCACCGCATTTACGGACAGCTCCTTCCATGCGTTTCCATCATAAAAACCTGACCGCCAAATTGGTATTTACTCCTCCACCTTGAAATGGTGGAGATACAAGCCACCAGACAAAAAAGGTATTGATAGTGTAGTATTTTTAATATATCTTTGGCTCAGATTCCAAGTAAAGAGAATAATCAAATGGTAAGCTTACAGAGCAGTACATACAGCAGGTTCCGAAAGGAGAGGGGGAGCCACTGTTTCTACACACATTTATTTCAGGTACTTATATAGCGCCGTCAATTTACGCAGCGCTTTACATACATATACATTCACATCAGTCCCTAACCTTCAAGGAGCGTACAATCTAAGGTCCCTAACTCACATTCATACATACACATACTAGGGACAATTTAGACAGGATCCAATTCACCTACCAGCATGTCCTTGGAGTGTGGGAGGAAACCGTAGTACCCCGCAGGAAAGCCACGCAGGCACAGGGAGAACATGCAAACTCCAAGCAGGAGGTGCCGTGGCTGGGATTCGAACCAATAACCCTAGTGCTGCCAGGCGGAAGTGCTAACCATTTAGCCACTGTGCTGCCCACCCATTGCACAATGAGGAAACACCAGCATGTTTCTTTGCTGCGGCTACAAATTGTCATTCGCAGCTGCAGCAAAGACCCATCCAGTGTGTATGTAGAGACAAGATGAGCTCAGGCTTGTTTGGACCAGAGTTCAAACCTGCCCAAATGACCCCCACAAGGTCAAACTGGACAGCCAATCATATGCAACAAGGCGTTCCTCACCCAGCAGTACACCCCTGGCGTATGTGTTGATGTTGGGCAGCGAATGCCTCTGCCGCCTATGATCAGCGGTCTTCGCCAGTATTCCAGGTCACGCTCATGAGTCTGAGAGCAGGATCTGTCTATGACCGCTCAGTCTTGTTGCTAGCTCCTAGCACAGGCGCATGCCCCATATATGCAGAGTCCATAAGGAAAGCCAATTCTTTTACTCCACCATATAGGTGGTGTGCGGTTGTAAAGTGGTTAAAATGACCCATGGAGTGGAAAATACAAGTTCACCAACCCCTTCTTTTCTCACCCCCCCCCCCCCATATCATGACCTTCTAGAGTGAAGTAAATGATCCAACACCTCTAACGTCCCTTCTGATGTAGCAATGTTGGTACCTCATGATTGGGCCAGCCCTGTCACATGGGGGGAAGGAGAAAAAAAAATTATAATAAAGTCCATATCTTTGTAAGTGGAGTTCTTCCCCATTTTGGACTGCCAAACAAAGCTGAACTGTTCCCCCTACATTGCCCTGTATGGGCAGAAAAGGGTCACTTAAAATCAGAGGGTCAGGTGTGATAATGAATCAGAGGCGACACAGAAAGCTCCGAGATCCCCAAAAGGACTTTATTGAAGCAATACATTCAGAGCTCCCTCCTCCCATACCAGTACACTGAGACTGGCAGAGAAGGGGACCGCAGACTGAGGTCACATGATCTTTAAGGTAGAGAAAATGGTGTTCTATAAGAGCGGACGCTTTCTGACTCTTCCAATCCAGCTTCATCTTCCAGAGCTCTAATGTCAGGCTCACACACAGGGAACACGGGGGTCAGTAACAGTTCTAGGGGGATGAAAAGTGCTAATTTATGGGGTGTAAAGTTCTCTGCACCCCAGACAGGACAACAGGGAAAGTGCTTTGGAAGATGGCTCCTCCCTCTATTTGGTGACCTGGTGGATGGCATGTGCCAAATAGCCGACATTTCCTGAAGTGACACCGGCTACAGAGATGCGGCCATCCTTTGTCATGTAGATGGAGAATTCTTTGATCAGACGCTCCACCTGGAGAAAGAAGACAGAGAATGAGGATATCACAACGGGAAGACAAAGGATGACAAATATCATCAAAGGAAATTTAAATTCTGCACTGGCTTCTATGGATATGACGACACCATTTATAAATCTATTGTTTATGGAAATGTGAAGAGGTGTGTGTGACACCAACAGAGGCAGTCAGTGAGTACAGTGTACTTCTACTGTACACAAAGTATGAGCTCAGGTCATGCATCCTAACTCAAATACAGTATTGTACTGCCAGGGTCAGAGGTGTATTGCCCTAGTAGACTGGGATGCCTCAACACACTAAAACATTCATGGCGCCAAGTTACTGTAACACACCTCAAGGCAAAAGTCTGAATGGGACCTAAAGCAAGCCAAGTTCATTTTAACTTAGGTCAACCCATATGCCCTACAAGTTGCTGAAGTTGTACTCTACGCATTTCTATAGGTTGATTGACCCAGCGTGGTCACTTGGGCCGTACAGAAGTAGTCTGTCTTTAAGCAAGCGTCAATACATCAGCCGGTCTGATTGGCTGCTGCCGCCAACTGCAGGACCCCCTTTTGCGATGGCCATATCCACCCTACAGGTCCACTCTAGTGACGGCCATATCCCACCCTACAGGTCCACTCTAGTGACGGCCATATCCCACCCTACAGGTCCACTCTAGTGACGGCCATATCCCACCCTACAGGTCCACTCTAGTGACGGCCATATCCCACCCTACAGGTCCACTCTAGTGACGGCCATATCCCACCCTACAGGTCCACTCTAGTGACGGCCATATCCCACCCTACAGGTCCACTCTAGTGACGGCCATATCCCACCCTACAGGTCCACTCTAGCGACGGCCATATCCCACCCTACAGGTCCCACTCTAAGTGACGGCCATATCCCACCCTACAGGTCCACTCTAGTGACGGCCATATCCCACCCTACAGGTCCACTCTAGTGACGGCCATATCCCACCCTACAGGTCCACTCTAGTGACGGCCATATCCCACCCTACAGGTCCACTCTAGTGACGGCCATATCCCACCCACAGGTCCACTCTAGTGACGGCCATATCCCACCCTACAGGTCCACTCTAGTGACGGCCATATCCCACCTACAGGTCCCCACTCTAGTGACGGCCATATCCCACCTACAGGTCCCACTCTAGTGACGGCCATATCCCACCTACAGGTCCCACTCTAGTGACGGCCATATCCCACCTACAGGTCCACTCTAGTGACAGCCATATCCCACCTACAGGTCCCACTCTAGTGACGGCCATATCCCACCTACAGGTCCCCACTCTAGTGACGGCCATATCCCACCTACAGGTCCCCACTCTAGTGACGGCCATATCCCACTTACAGGTCCCACTCTAGTGACGGCCATATCCCACTTACAGGTCCCACTCCAGTGACGGCCATATCCCACCTACAGGTCCCACTCTATCCAACATGTGCCACCTATCCAAAAATTAGCAGTGGGATAAATTTCACAAGAGTTGGTGATGTCAGCAGCTCACCTGCTCTGGTTTCAGACCGGTGAAGCAGAACATGCCGATCTGATCACTGATGTGCTGCCAGCTGTGGATGGAGCCTTCCTTCTTCAGGTTAGATACTAGTTGTTCCCGCATACTGATGATACGATTGGCCATCCCCTTTACCTCCTGCAGCCTATAGAAAGAGACTTAATATATTTACGCAAACACAGGACAGACAGAGGGAAGGGGGGGAGGGAGGGGGGGGGGGAATGGGCCGGGGTGACAGATCCAGCGTACCACTCGCTGCGCAGCTCAGGCTGATTCAAGATCGCTGCCGCTATTCTTGCCCCATTCAGAGGAGGATTAGAGTACATGGGACGAATCAGGATCTTCAGCTGTGACTCCACCCTTTTCGCTTCATCAGCATCACTGCATACCACAGTGAAAGCACCAACACGTTCACCTAGAGGGAGGGAGAGGAGAGTCAGTGGAGTTTCTCCTTACCCAGAGCATATATCTAGTATGGAGTCAAGGAATTAAGGAGCCAGAACCAGATTCTCAGGAAATTCCGTTTCAGATTGATCTACAAACACTTGCTATGTAGCAAATTCTTATTACTCACCGTAAAGCCCCATGTTTTTGGCATATGACTGGGACAGGGCCACATTGAGACCCTCCTGGATGAAATGACGCACAGCCCAAGCGTCCCTGTCTATGTCTCCACTGGCAAAGCCCTGGTAAGCCATATCGAAGAATGGGAAGAGGCGGCGGCTCTGGAGGGTGAACAAAATTTTTAATCAATTTAAACCAATGATATCACAAAGCTCCAAATTAAACTCCCTGGTTATCTCTCGCCTCGACTATTGCAACTCCCTGCTCATTGGCTTACCTTTACATAGGCTATCTCCCCTCCAGTCCATCATGAATACTGCTGCCAGGCTCACCAACTGTTCAGTGTCTGCTACCCCTCTCTGCCAATCCCTCCACTGGCTTCCACTCGCCAAACAAAAAAAAAAAAAAATACTCAAAATACTAACAACTTACAAAACCATCCACAACTCTGCCCTCAGCTACATCACCAACCTGGTCTCAAAATATCAACCAAACTGCTCTCTTCAATCTTCCCAAGACCTTCTGCTCTCTAGTTCCGTGTCACCTCCTCCCATGCGCTCCTCCATGACCTCTCCCGAGCTTCTCCAATCCTATGGAACTCCCTACCCCAATCTGTCCGGTTATCTCCTAATCTATCCACCTTTAGACGATCCCTGAACACCTCTCTTTAAAGAAGCCTCTCCTGCTTCTACTTAGTAAACTGCCTTTTATTTCCTCCATAAGCTCATCCCCCCCACAGCTACTACGTTTTGTATCACTCAACCCTTCCTCCTAGATTGTAAGCTCTAATGAGCCGGGCCCACTGTTTCCTCTTGTACCAAATTATATTGCAACTGTAATGTCTACCTTCATTTTTTAAAACGCTGAACAAACTGTTGGCGCTATATAAATCCTGAAGAACAACAACCTACATCCTCAGAATAGGAATCCTCAGAATAGGAAGGAAGGAAGGAAGGAAAAAAAGGAAGGAAGGAAGGAAGGAAGGAAGGAAGGAAGGAAGGAAGGAAGGAAGGAAGGAAGGAAGAAGGAAGGAAGGAAGGAAGGAAGGAAGGAAGGAAGGAAGGAAGGAAGGAAGGAAGGAAGGAAGGAAGGAAGGGTGTTTTTTCAAACCAACCCCAACTATCCCATAGAGTCGTAAAAGATGGATTGCGCCGCGCTCCTATATATTAATATATTCAACTTATACTTCTAAGGTAAATATTGATTTCAATTTCAATGTCAATACTTGTGACTATAACACTAAACATATATAAAAGTATACATATAAGTGATATACATAATAAATCCTAAAGTGATAGTGCCTTAATGGGTACCATGGTATAAAACCATATTGCACCTCTATATTGCTGTGATCACTCTATTCACATTGTGCAAAAACATATACAAATTGTGCACGTGCTTATAAAAAGTAAATAAAATTATATATAAAGTCTTCCAAAGTAAATGTGCAAGTGAATTTTCTGTTCCTTCTTGCCGAGTGCTAAATGGTCTCCCTCCGTGCTCACCTCTATATTTGCCTGAATGAATCCAGCAAATACGCTTTTTTATCCTTCCGGGATAGATGAAATGGAATGATGCTCTTGCTCTAGCCGTCCCAGAAGGTGGACATGTATTAAGATGGATCCTCCTATTATCTCCTTTTTCTCCCTGTGTATCAATGAATACACTGACCAGCTCACTTGGGATCTCCCAATTCCCCTCCTGGGGTTGTTTCCTCGTTCACTCCTCCTTATGCCAGCTCATGGGGTGTTGGTCAGAAAGGAAAAAAGCAGACCATAGTGTCTTATCCTTGTACATAAAGGGAATTTATTTCTGCCAATTAGGTATTGCTCAGTGGCAACAGGTGATCCAAATAAGCATAGATGGCAATCAACAGGTAAAAAAAAACTCTGCCAGCTGCCCCTGCAGTGCTGTTGCCTGCGCTTGTGTGCTCGGAACCTCGTTTCTCCAGTGCAATGTCGTGACGTCAGAGCCCCTCCCCTACGCGTTGCGTCACAGGGTCACGTGACTTCATCAGGGGGAATTTGATTGGATCCAATCAAATTCCCCCTGATGAAGTCACGTGACCCTGTGACGCAACGCGTAGGGGAGGGGCTCTGACGTCACGACATTGCACTGGAGAAGCGAGGTGATCCGAGCACAAGCGCAGGCAGACAGCACTGCAGGGGCAGCTGCAGAGTTTTTTTTTACCTGTTGATTGCCATCTATGCTTATTGGATCACATATGAGCTGTATGCCACTGAGCAATATCCTAATTGGCAGAAATAAATTCCCTTTATGTACAAGGATAAGACACTATGGTCTGCTTTTTTCCTTTCTGACCAACACCCCATGAGCTGGCATAAGGAGGAGTGAACGAGGAAACAACCCCAGGAGGGGAATTGGGAGATCCCAAGTGAGCTGGTCAGTGTATTCATTGATACACAGGGAGAAAAAGGAGATAATAGGAGGATCCATCTTAATACATGTCCACCTTCTGGGACGGCTAGAGCAAGAGCATCATTCCATTTCATCTATCCTGGAAGGATAAAAAGCGTATTTGCCTGGATTCATTCATATATAGAGGTGAGCACAGAGGGAGACCATTTAGCACTCGGCAAGAAGGAACAGAAAATTCACTTGCACATTTACTTTGGAAGACTTTATATATAATTTTATTTACTTTTTATAAGCACGTGCACAATTTGTATATGTTTTTGCACAATGTGAATAGAGTGATCACAGCAATATAGAGGTGCAATATGGTTTTATACCATGGTACCCATTAAGGCACTATCACTTTAGGATTTATTATGTATATCACTTATATGTATACTTTTATATATGTTTAGTGTTATAGTCACAAGTCACAAGTATTGACATTGAAATTGAAATCAATATTTACCTTAGAAGTATAAGTTGAATATATGAATATATAGGAGCGCGGCGCAATCCATCTTTTACCATTCATACACACTAGTAAGTGAGTCAGTGTAAGTGCCAGCGCACCTTATACACTTAATAAGAAGATTTTACTGTATGTTACTTATTGAACACCTCGATTCATAATAGCTCACAAGAATTCACTATTTATATCCCATAGAGTCCTCCCCCACAATCTATTCCACAACCCCCTACTCCAATCTAATCTCCAACCTCCTCATGACCGCCCCCCCCCCCTCTGTCCTGCAGTCTTCCCCCTCTACTATCCCCCAATATATCCAACAGCTTCCTCATGCCACCCCCCACACTACCCTAATAATATTGCACAATCCCCTGCTCCAAATTTAGCCCATAGCCTCCCCCTCCTATTACCGCAATCACCCCAGTGAAGGCTCAAAGCTACCTGCAAATTCTTCCAATGTACACGAAGTATGCTGTGCATAGAAAATGGGCTTCTCACTCTACCAACTTTAGGGTAAATTTTCAGTGGTTATTCCGAATTTATAAATTTGTGTTTCCTTTCTATAAACTTGAATATTGACACAATGCCAAAAGTGATCAGGGAAAAGGAAAAATACCTTTACAGCAGCAGCAAGCTCCTTCCATTGCTCCTTGCGGGGGTCCACTCCGGTGGGGTTGTGAGCACAGGCGTGGAACAGTATAATGCTCTGTTCTGGGATTTTCTGACAGCGAGAAAACAAGATTTTTAGTGAATGAGACAAGCGAGTTTCCTCACTTCACGTGAAATATACTACAGAGTGCAGAATGGGGTGGTGGGGTAAATGGTGATGGGTGAGGTTTAGGTATGCGGGGATGGAGAGGACACACCAACACCAGTGTGCAGGATAGGATTCTACTTACCGAGATATCGGCCAGAGCACCAGCAAAGTCAAACCCACAGGTCTTAGGATCATAATAGCAATAACCTTTGACCTCCAGCCCAGCATCCCGGAAGATGGGAGTGTGGTTACCCCAGGACGGTTTGGGCAGATACACATCACGGCTGAACTTGTAGAATCTATGCTGTGAAAAGATATCTAGATATTAATTTGACTGGACTGAATACTGCAGTCATGACACAGGAGGAGAGCTCAATGTATCAGTCTATCAGAGAAAAAAAAGGGACATCTTTTCAAAGACAAAATACTCCTAATATAATTTTATTCATTTTAGGCCAGTCTACTATCCATCGGAGGTCCACCCCCTCGCGTGGACAGTCCCATCATCCACGGGGGGGTCTCCTCGCGTGGACAGTCCCATCATCCACGGGGGGGTCTCCTCGCGTGGACAGTCCCATCATCCACGGGGGGGGTCTCCTCGCGTGGACAGTCCCATCATCCACGGGGGGGTCTCCTCGCGTGGACAGTCCCATCAGGGTTTCCCCTTGTTTGCTTTATGCTGATGCACAAGACATGTTCCACCAGAAAGTCTTCACTCCCATCTCCTAACACATCTGAACTATGCACTGTCTAAGCTCGTTTGCCCTGACTAGTGAAGCATACAATACAACACTTCCAGAGCTGCAGATAGGATTCCTATCACTTCTACTCAGTATGCACTCATTTCCAGGGCAGACGATTCATTCCCCACTCAAGAGTCATTCAGTGATGGGTACTAAAATGTCCCGTCTGGCCCCTATAGTCACTGTAGCCACAGTCATCTTTCACTCACCAGGAAGTTGGCTCCAACCCGCAAAGATCCAGTCCCAGAGATGGTCTGTACTGTGATATACTGGAGGGAGACAGAAGAGGAGAACAGCATGTCACATCCAGAGACACACACTAATCAGGCTGTCCCAGCCAATACCTGTGTGCTTAGGCTACCATGAAAGCCGTCAGCTCTGGAGTCCCAGTCTTAGGACTAACATGAAGTTGAAGGAGCAACAATTGGCTGCTTCCATCAGAGCCTTCTCTTACAGGTGCTTTTATTCAAAGAAAAATTTTAGTTTTCTTTACAAACATCGGAGAGATGACAACATGCATATTAGCAGGGTCAAGGGGGGGGCAATAACCTCTGTGGCATCAAACTGCAGGAAAGCCACCCAGAATCCATAGGAATTTTCAACTGTACTCAAAGACTGTTCAGATGAGCTGAGCAGTGGCTGCCCCCATATTTATTTTTGTAGTTCCTTTAAACAGCAATGTCTGTAATGGTCTCTGCCAGAGGAGAGAGATAAGGGACATACACCACTGATAATACGGACTCACAGTCCATGCCCTGAAATAGGCTACAATCTACACTACACACAACACTGTACCGGCATATGGGAACAGACATTCATCAATCTCAGACTTACCCGGCCACACTGAACCACCTCCGACTTGTCCCCAAGTGCCAGCTCAGCCGATGCCCGAGCAAAGTCAGCTAGTCCTCCAATAGCCAGGTACTCTTTGTCCATATGTTTGGCTGCCAGCTGAGCCTCCGCCTGAGAGATGAGAAATCAGAGCAACATTAGTGATGGACAACCTCAGAGACGGAAGAGGATTGGGCCTACCAGAGACTGCCGTATCCAAAAGATAGCGTTGGGCCTACCAGAAACCAGCAGTGCCCAATCATATTATAAGGCCTACAGGTGGCTACCAGTCCCCAAATGACACCACTGGGGCTACCAGTCCCCAAATGACACCACTGGGGCTACCAGTCCCCAAATGACACCACTGGGGCTCCAAGAGACTACCAGTCCACAAATTACACCAGTGGGGCTACCGGAGACTACCAGTCCCCAAATTACACCAGTGGGGCTACCGGAGACTACCAGTCCCCAAATTACACCAGTGGGGCTACCGGAGACTACCAGTCCCCAAATTACACCAGTGGGGCTACCGGAGACTACCAGTCCCTAAATTACACCATTGGGGCTACCGGAGACTACCAGCCCCCAAATTATACCATTGGGGCTCCCAGAGACTACCAGTTTAAATTATACCATTGAGCCTATCAGAGACTATCAGTACCCACATTTTACTGCCGGGCACCATCCATAACATGACTACTACAAGGACAACCACAGAACCGGCAGAGGCCTACCAGAAAGTACCATTACCCATACTATAACAACATTGGGCCTACTGAAGTAGGGGTTGAGTTTATGTCTATACTCCAATGGAGAAATATGGTTTTTTTTTTTTTCCTGTGTCCCTGTTAGGTAGCTCTCCCCTCCCTCCTGTATGGTAAAATGGTTGTCGCCAGCACTGGAAGCAAGAGGAAATCTCTCTAATGAAACCTCAGATAGTAAAAACCTGACAGGGGGTTCTACTCTTTCCCTCCTATTCAAAGCTTTGGCTGAACAAATACTTTAATGGACTCTCTACACAATGTCAGCAGGCGGTGACTTCCCCCATACCTTATGTGTTAAAAAAAAAAAAAAAAAAAATGTACAACTCTTTTACCCATTAACCAAGCCACTGGTCTACAACAAACACAGAAATCGAAAAAATCTATCGATGTCAGTATACAGTATACAAACTGAGTGCCAACATAACTGAAAACATCTTATCACGGGCTGAATGACTCATTACGAGCAACAGGAATTTGGAACATTGTCAGTTGCACCATACACCATTCCTCTCAGTACTATGCAATACCCAATCTAACTCCGCACTATGCTGTGCCATACACCATACCATACATCGTCGTCCCCCAATACTACGCTGAAGGCATACGCCGCCCCCTCTCAGCACTACGCTGAAGGCATACGCCGCCCCCTCTCAGCACTACGCTGAAGGCATACGCCGCCCCCTCTCAGCACTACGCTGAAGGCATACGCCGCCCCCTCTCAGCACTACGCTGAAGGCATACGCCGCCCCCTCTCAGCACTACGCTGAAGGCATACGCCGCCCCCTCTCAGCACTACGCTGAAGGCATACGCCGCCCCCTCTCAGCACTACGCTGAAGGCATACGCCGCCCCCTCTCAGCACTACGCTGAAGGCATACGCCGCCCCCTCTCAGCACTATGCAGTGCCATACGCAGCCCCCTCTCCCCCTCTCAGCTCTCAGCACTATGCAGTGCCATACGCCGCCCCCCTCTCAGCACTATGCAGTGCCATACGCCGCCCCCTCTCAGCACTATGCAGTGCCATACGCCGCCCCCCTCTCAGCACTATGCAGTGCCATACGCCGCCCCCTCTCAGCACTATGCAGTGCCATACGCCGCCCCCTCTCAGCACTATGCAGTGCCATACGCCGCCCCCTCTCAGCACTATGCAGTGCCATACACTGCCCCCTCTCAGCACTACGCTGAACCATACACCCGCCCCCTCTCAGCACTATGCTGAACCATACGCCGTCCCCTCTATAGCTGGGCTATACTGGCAGTGTCACCTACAGCACAGCAGAGACTGAAGTTGGGTACATTCTGGCCCTTTATATGAAATATGGATCCTTGCCATGCTCTGTATTTGTTCTGCATCTTTGATTCAGAGATCAGACAAACAGATTTCCTGGCACACGCACAGAAGGTACAGAGTGCAGCACAGTGATCAATGCCTGCCCCATAGGATTGGAGCTCTTACACACTCCTCCAGAGTCATGCAGGGGCAGTGGGCCCCTGGGCCACACAGGTGATTGTGTCATGTATTCATCACATGCCAGAGGAGTGATTGGTAGCAGCGGACATGGACAGAAGGGAGGAGAGAACATGAAAGCTGGAAGAATTCCATGCGATTTCCAGCAACATCTGCGGATGGCGGAGAGTCTCACACAGAGGCCACCAATGGATGAATGCTGTAACCCTCATGACCAGAGTTCACCAATCAAGGGTATGTGTGCAGCATGGATGGGAGGTGAAGGCTGGTCACTATGGGTTACCACCACCATCCACATCACCAATCCCTTGTAGGACGACGTCTGCAAAATGAACAGCTGTTTGAACACCCCCCTCCATACTGCCAACCTTCACCTGTTCAACTCAATTCACAAACTTCAGTGAACAAAATGTGAAATTGTAGGCAGGCGGGCAGTGCCAAGTTCCCTGTCAGGAGTTCAGATGAATAAAGAATGGAGGATGGTGTATGAAATCACTACAAGACAGCATGACTCCAATTTTCCCGACATACAAGTCCTGGCATGACCACAGATTTTTGTGAATCTCCGACAAACCAGATTTAATGTGTCATGTGATCGTGATCGTCTCTGCTCAGGAATAGAAGAGGGTGGAGGAGAGTGACAATCAGATGTGCAACAGAAAAGTTAGGGAACACCAGCCAAATGTGGTTCTAGTTCTGGATGGAGCAAGAAGGCAAAGATCCTCCCATGAGTTTTACTGCTGTCTGTGCCTCTCATTAGGTAGATTCCCTTTATATTTACCCCCCCCCCCCCTTTTCCGCCCCTTATCCCTCTGCCTGCCCCAACCTTAGCCAGGAAAACATGAGGAGCAATTCTTGGTGAGCTGACACGACGCGGAGTCCATGAACGGGCCACATACACACAGGAGACAGGTCCGGTCCGACAGTGTGTGAGCAGCACACTTAGCTGTATTGTAAATTATGGGGTTCCAGACGTTCTGGTAATACCAGACGCCCTACAGATCAGTCCCCACCACTGATGTCATATACCCAGTTTACCACAGATCAGACCCCCACTGCTGGTAATACCCAGCTCCCCGCACATTGGACCCCCCCCCCCCACTGCACCCGGCAGTAGGTACCTGGTTCCCTGCAGATTAGACCCCCACTGCTGGTAATACCCAGCTCCCCCACACATTGGACCCCCCCACTGCACCCAGCAGTAGGTACCTGGTTCCCTGCAGATTAGACCCCCACTGCTGGTAATACCCAGCTCCCCGCACATTGGCCTTCCACACTGCACCCGGCAGTAGGTACCTGGTTCCCTGCAGATTAACCTCCCTGACGGTATTCCCGAGTGTAGCTCGGGGTAACATTTCAGTACCAAAAGCGGTAACCCCGAGCTACACTCGGGCTTACCCTGAGGCACTGCTCCGGCAAGTGTTCTTCACTTACCTTACCCTGCGCTCCCACGTATGTGTCCCCTGCAGCGTCCCCGGCCATCTCCTCCGGCCGATGCCGGCATCCGGCTTCTGTGTCCTGTCCCTGTGACGTCGGGACGTACGGGCGCGCCGCCGCCGCCGCCGGCGGGAAATTTAAAAATTTTAAAAAATGTCATTTTTTTTTTTTTACATTTTACACAGTAAAAACATTGCTGTTTCAACCTATTTCACATACATATTGTCCCTAGTGCTTTGTCCTGCGCCCTGCCTGCATTTTGTCTGTTCTTTCTGTCTGGAAACTGAGAAATGTCCATGGCGTCCAAAAAGTGTCCCTTTAGGTCAAAAGCGGTTTAGATCAGCTAGAGAACAGCGATAGTAAATCAGAACCACTTGCAGAATTGAGTGATAATGATTCGTGGGGGAAATTCGTCATCAGAAACTGAAAACGATTTTGTGACTGAGCTCAGCAATGTGCGAACTTGGCGCTCTATTTCACATTTCAGTGTTTTTGGTTTGATTATATTATTGAATTAAATTTTTTATTATTTTTATATTATTTTTATGATTATTTATTAAATTATAATTTATGATTTTGTGTTTCAAATTTTATCATACCCGGGATGTTTACTAGACTCTTGTTCGGACAGATTTCAGTGTGTTTTTCCTAAAAATTACAGCCTACAATAAAAAAAATACATATTTCCATGCAAAAAAAATGGTACCGCTTTCAGCACCAAAAATCTGAAATAATCATACCGCCAGGGAGGTTAAGCTCCCCCACTGCTGGTAATACCCAGCTCCCCACACATTGGACCCCCCACTGCACCTGGCAGTAGGTACCTGGTTCCCTGCAGATTAGACCCCCCACTACTGGTAATACCCAGCTCTCCACACATTGGACCCCCCACTGCACCTGGCAGTATGTACCTGGTTCCCTGCAGATTAGACCCCCCACTGCTGGTAATACCCAAATTCATGCAAATTAGATCTCCACTGCTGGTATTACCCGGCTCCAAGGAATAGACTTTGCCTCTTACAACAAAGCCCCTCTTTGCCAATAATACCCAATCCAGCAACAGATGAGCCCCCAGTAAAGCCCAAAGGACCCCTCCCTGGTTTTGCCCCCTGGTTCAGTCTGATAACTAACCCCCCACCCCAGTAATACCTGGATTAGTCTGAAAACTAACCCCCCTCCCCAGTAATACCTGGTTCAGTCTGATAACTAACCCCCCTCCCCAGTAATACCTGGTTCAGTCTGATAACTAACCCCCCTCCCCAGTAATACCTGGATTAGTCTGAAAACTAACCCCCCTCCCCAGTAATACCTGGTTCAGTCTGATAACTAACCCCCCTCCCCAGTAATACCTGGTTCAGTCTGATAACTAACCCCCCTCCCCAGTAATACCTGGTTCAGTCTGATAACTAACCCCCCTCCCCAGTAATACCTGGTTCAGTCTGATAACTAACCCCCCTCCCCAGTAATACCTGGTTCAGTCTGATAACTAACCCCCCTCCCCAGTAATACCTGGTTCAGTCTGATAACTAACCCCCCACCCCAGTAATACCTGGTTCAGTCTGATAACTAACCCCCCTCCCCAGTAATACCTGGTTCAGGTCTGATAACTAACCCCCCTCCCCAGTAATACCTGGTTCAGTCTGATAACTAACCCCCCTCCTCAGTAATACCTGGTTCAGTCTGATAACTAACGCCCCTCCCCTGCAACACCTGGTTCAGTCTGATAACTAACCCCCCTCCCCAGTAACACCCGGGTACATCCCAACAATTCGCTCCCCATTCCTCACCTTCCGCACACTACTCAGGACGAAGGGCTTGCCGGCGTCATCTCGGTACGCTCCGACTCCCAAATTCATCTTCTTGGAGTTGGTGTCCCTCTTGAAAGCTTCGGTCACCCCCAGGATGGGATCGGGGGGGCCCATCTCCACATGTGACCACCATGAGCTGCCAGGGGAACATTACAAATAATTGTTCTCATCAGAGGCCTTCTAGCGCCATTCTATCATTTCTGCAGCATCAATGCCCTAACTGTAATGGAACTGGACCACAACCCCCCCCCCCCCCCCCCCCCCCCAAATACCCGGGGCAGCAGAGCAACAGATTTAATAACAGGTGACACTGAGGGGAAATTGCATGTTGTATTTGCACACACATAACATTCCCCATGGTGACATAGAGGTCGGTGCAGGTGGTGGCTGACAGCTGCAATTATACAGACCGATTTACTGGTCATGCAGTAACCCACGGCAACCAGATTACACTGCCGGCACAGATTACAGAGTAATGAGAGTACAATACAGGATTACCCTGAGAAGAATCAGGCAGGAACACTCAGCGTGGATGTGTCGGGGGGGGGGGGGGGGGGGGGGGGGGGGGGGGGGGAAAGGTCAGGGACGGACAAGGTGATTTATAAACAGCAACTGGTAGTTACCAAAGCCCAAAATATCCCATTGGGGGGGGGGGGGGGGGGGGTTCACAGACACCGCAGGAAACACTTTAGGAAATATGGGGGGGGGGACCGCTTGGTGACACCGGAACCCCCCCCCCCCCCACAAGGGCTCAGCTGGAGTTGTACGACACCAACATTAAGCAGAACCCCACTGAGAGTTTGCAAACAGAATGCAATCCATTACAAGGGAAGAATATTTCATACAGACTTATTAGTGAAAGTTGAATGGGGGGGGGGGGGGGGGGGGCACAGTGGAGCCGGGGAAGGGGGTGGGTGGGTAGAAGGTTGGGTATTAGACAGGGAATGCAGTGGAGTTGGGGGAAAGGGGTTGGCGGGACCAGGGAGGGGGGTGTGCAGTGAAGTCCGGGGAGGGGATTAGAGGGGGAATGCAATTTTTCGCAACTGGAAATAAAAAATGCAGCACAGGAGGTGATCACCTCAATGGATTTATGGCAGGATCAACTGAAATATTCAACAGATAACAAAACAACTCTGATGGGATACTGAACAAAACACAAGGAGGAAATAAGAAGAGGATTGATGGTGGAGGGGAAGGGGGGTCACCGGGCAGCCATGCTTGTGAAGTCCATGTAGTGTGATGGCTCACTACAAGGGGGATATGATCTCAATATATAATACATCGGGGGAAGGGGGGGTATGATCACCACGTAGAATACATGAGGGGGGGTATGATCACCACGTAGAATACATGAGGGGGGGTATGATCACCACGTAGAATACATGAGGGGGGGGGTATGATCACCACGTAGAATACATGAGGGGGGGTATGATCACCACGTAGAATACATGAGGGGGGGGGGTATGATCACCACGTAGAATACATGAGGGGGGGTATGATCACCACGTAGAATACATGAGGGGGGGGGGTATGATCACCACGTAGAATACATGAGGGGGGGGGGTATGATCACCACGTAGAATACATGGGGGGGGGGTATGATCACCACGTAGAATACATGAGGGGGGGGGTATGATCACCACGTAGAATACATGAGAATACATGGGGGGGGTATGATCACCACGTAGAATACATGAGGGGGGGTATGATCACCACGTAGAATACATGAGGGGGGGTATGATCACCACGTAGAATACATGAGGGGGGGTATGATCACCACGTAGAATACATGAGGGGGGGTATGATCACCACGTAGAATACATGAGGGGGGGTATGATCACCACGTAGAATACATGAGGGGGGGTATGATCACCACGTAGAATACATGAGGGGGGGGTATGATCACCACGTAGAATACATGAGGGGGGGTATGATCACCACGTAGAATACATGAGGGGGGGTATGATCACCACGTAGAATCACCACGTAGAATACATGAGGGGGGGTATGATCACCACGTAGAATACATGAGGGGGGGGGTATGATCACCACGTAGAATACATGAGGGGGGGTATGATCACCGCGTAGAATACATGAGGGGGGGTATGATCACCGCGTAGAATACATGAGGGGGGGTATGATCACACCACGTAGAATACATGAGGGGGGGTATGATCACCCGCGTAGAATACATGAGGGGGGGTATGATCACCACGTAGAATACATGAGGGGGGGTATGATCACCACGTAGAATACATGAGGGGGGGTATGATCACCACGTAGAATACATGAGGGGGGGTATGATCACCACGTAGAATACATGAGGGGGGGTATGATCACCACGTAGAATACATGAGGGGGGGGTATGATCACCACGTAGAATACATGAGGGGGGGTATGATCACCACGTAGAATACATGAGGGGGGGTATGATCACCACGTAGAATACATGAGGGGGGGTATGATCACCACGTAGAATACATGAGGGGGGGTATGATCACCACGTAGAATACATGAGGGGGGGGGATATGATCACCACGTAGAATACATGAGGGGGGGGGATATGATCACCACGTAGAATACATGAGGGGGGGATATGATCACCACGTAGAAATACATGAGGGGGGGGGGATATGATCACCACGTAGAAAACATGAGGGGGGGGATATGATCACCACGTAGAATACATAAGGGGGGATATGATCTCCACGTATAATACATAAGGGGGGATATGATCTCCATGTATAATACATAAGGGGGGATATGATCTCCATGTATAATACATAAGGGGGGATATGATCTCCATGTAAATACATAAGGGGGGATATGATCTCCATGTATAATACATAAGGGGGGATATGATCTCCATGTATAATACATAAGGGGGGATATGATCTCCATGTATAATACATAAGGGGGGATATGATCTCCATGTATAATACATAAGGGGGGATATGATCTCCATGTATAATACATAAGGGGGGATATGATCTCCAATGTATAATACATAAGGGGGGATATGATCTCCATGTATAATACATAAGGGGGGATATGATCTCCATGTATAATACATAAGGGGGGATAATGATCTCCATGTATAATACATAAGGGGGGATATGATCTCCATGTATAATACATAAGGGGGGATATGATCTCCATGTATAATACATAAGGGGGGGATCCATGATACATAAGGGGGGATCTCCATGTATAATACATAAGGGGGGGATCCCCATGTATAATACATAAGGGGGGATATGATCTCCATGTATAATACATAAGGGGGATATGATATTCTCCATGTATAATACATAAGGGGGGGGGGGGATATGATCTCCATGTATAATACATAAGGGGGGATATGATCACCATGTATAATACATAAGGGGGGATATGATCTCCATGTATAACACATAAGGGGGGATATGATCTCCATGTATAATACATAAGGGGGGGGATATGATGATCCATGTATAATACATAAGGGGGGGATATGATCTCCATGTATAATACATAAGGGGGGGAGGGTATGATCACCATACTATAATACATAAGGGGGGATATGATCACCATGTATAATACATAAGGGGGGATATGATCTCCATGTATAATACATAAGGGGGGATATGATCTCCATGTATAATACATAAGGGGGGATATGATCTCCATGTATAATACATAAGGGGGGGATATGATCTCCATGTATAAATACATCAGTGGTTCATATAGTGAACGCGGTGTAGAGTTATTCACCCTGAGGTCATCACAGAGGACAAGGGGGCACTCTTTACTTCTGGAGGAAAAGAAATTTAATCTCTAAACACGGAAAGGTTTCTTCACAGTAAGAGCTGTGAAAATGTGGAATAGACTCCCTCAAGAGTTGGTTCAGGCCAGTTCAGTGGATTGCTTTAAAAAAGTCCTGGATTCGTTCTTGGATACACAGAATATAACTGGATATAACATTTATAGGTAAAGATGATCCAGGGAATATCCGATTGCTTCTCGGGGATCAGGAAGGAATTTATTTCCCTGCAGGAGCAAATTGGATCATACTTTGCTGGGTTGTTTTTGCCTCTCAGGATCAACTGTGGGTATAGGATTAACTTTTTTGGTTGAACTGGATGGACTTTTGTCTTTTTTTCAGCCAGACTAACTATGTAACACGGTGTCAGTTTAGTGATCCCAGGACAGGCACAGTGTACATTGTAGCTTCTCTTACTACTGAGAACACATTAGATACATTTTATATATGTCAGTCACATGACAGGTGGTGTGAGGTGTGAGGTGGGGGAGGGGGGGACTAGTCTCAGATTAGAGATGTAAAGAGCGTGCTCAGAGTATATGAAGTACCCAATACACACACGGGAAGCACACACTGTACAGACACGGCAAGCACAGACATATGGGAGCGGAATGCAGCACACATGAGGAGGAGGAGCGCTGATAATTACACACAGATCTCATATTGGGACCCAGGCCAGGAATCTCGATCACCCAGAAAGTCCAGTCCATCCCCCTTCCTGATCCCCATCAGACTCCAGGCCGGGATTTTGCTGTCACAAGACCTTCCACACAGCAAGAATGTAACCCTTCAAGGCTGTAGCAGTGATCCCATGAACCTCCCCCACACACCCACCCTGAGGTCCCCTACACAGTGCTGGTGGTGCTCTGCACAAGGTGACAAGTGTATATGGGGGCCACTTTTCCCTCCCCTGCAAGAGACCAACATGTCACCCACCAACAGTAACTCCTCTGATCACCCCACACTGAACACAGACCCCTCCCCGACCTTCAATCGTCCTTGTGCCCCAGATAAGTGATCACTGGGGGAGGCAGAGGTGACCCCCCCAACCTCATCACTGCCAGCACACCGGGGGTTAATGCATCTCCAGCCCAGACAACGTGTCAGACTACAGGAGACCACAACTCCCAGCATTCCCTGCACAGACCACCAAAGGCCATCTACAGGGGACCCCAACCCCCAGCATTCCCTGCACAGACCACCAAAGGCCATCTACAGGGGACCCCAACCCCCAGCATTCCCTGCACAGACCACCAAAGGCCATCTACAGGTGACCCCAACCCCCAGCATTCCCTGCACAGACCACCAAAGGCCATCTACAGGGGACCCCAACCCCCAGCATTCCCTGCACAGACCACCAAAGGCCATCTACAGGGGACCCCAACCCCCAGCATTCCCTGCACAGATCCCCAAAGGCCATACTACAGGGGAAACACAACCCCCAGCATTCCCTGCACCGACCACCAAAGGCCATCTACAGGGGACCACAACATCCAGCATTCCCTGCACGGAACACCAAAGGACATCTACAGGGGGCCCCAGCACTCCCTATACCGATCCCCAAAGAGTATCTACAGGGGACCCCCAGCATTCCCTACACTGTTCAGAAGAGAGCTACTGCTTTTGCTCCTTCACACATGGGCAGGGGCCCCATATATCTCCACCCCCCTTTTCACACATGAACCCCATATTCCCCCCCTTCACACATGGACAGAGGCCCTATATACACCCCCCCTCCCCTACACACAGACAGGGGCCCCATCGTACCTAGCTCTGGCCCCGAGGGCCCCCAGGCCAGGCCGGATTCGGAGAGATGTCAGCAGAGCCATCATTACAGGAGAGAGAGAGCCGAGAGCGCCGAGACCGCCGGGAGATACAGGGTCACCTGACCCCGCCCACCGACACACACACCCCCTGAATGACCCCGCCCCTTTTCCGATCAGCGCCCCCCGCCGACCCGGAGGAGACACTGCTCCGCCAAGAGGCCCTGTGTATCCAATATCATCATCCTCATCATTATGAATATTATCATATTATCGTCTATTAATTATCATCATCCTAATGATCACCTTTATTATTAATATATATTTATTATCAGTGCAACCCCAGGAGGACCTGTAATATTATCACCTTAATACTCATCACTATCTTCCTACTCATCATCATCACTATCCTCCTACTCATCATCACCATCCTCCTACTCATCATCATCATCATCATCACTATCCTCCTACTCATCATCATCATTATCCTCCTACTCATCATCATCATCACTATCCTCCTACTCATCATCATCACTATCCTCCTACTCATCATCATCATCACTATCCTCCTACTCATCATCATCATCACTATCCTCCTACTCATCATCATCACTATCCTTCTACTCATCATCATCATCATCATCACTATCCTCCTACTCATCATCATCATCATCACTATCCTCCTACTCATCATCATCATCACTATCCTCCTACTCATCATCATCATCACTATCCTCCTACTCATCATCATCACTATCCTCCTACTCATCATCATCATCACTATCCTCCTACTCATCATCATCACTATCCTCCTACTCATCATCATCACTATCCTCCTACTCATCATCATCACCATCCTCCTACTTATCATCATCATCACTATCCTCCTACTCATCATCATCATCATCATCACTATCCTCCTACTCATCCTCACTATCCTCCTACTCATCATCATCATCATCACTATCCTCCTACGCATCATCATCATCCTATCCTCCTACTCAGCATCATCACTATCCTCCTACTCATCATCATCATCATCACTATCCTCCTACTCATCATCATCACTATCCTCCTACTCATCATCATCACTATCCTCCTACTCATCATCATCACCATCCCTCCTACTCATCATCATCATCACTATCCTCCTACTCATCATCATCATCACTATCCTACTCATCATCATCACCATCACTATCCTCCTACTCATCATCATCATCATCATCATCATCACTATCCTCCTACTCATCATCATCACAATCCTCCTACTTATCATCATCATCATCACTATCCTCCTACGCATCATCATCCCCCATTATTATTATTATTATTATTATTATTAATGCATCACCAAACACCAAAAGGACATGTATAATACTTATCAGCATTATTACTGCACTGCCAAGATAGCCTGTATAATAATTATTATTATCCTCCTTATCATCATCATCATCCTCCACATCATTATCACCATCATCATCCTCCACATCATCATCATCATTCTTCACATCATCCTCACCATTATCAGCCTCATCATCATCACCATCCTCCACATCATCATCCTCCACATCATCACCATCATCATCATCCTCCACATCATCTTCACCATTATCAGCCTCATCATCATCACCATCCTCCACATCATCATCCCCCACATCATCATCACCATCATCATCATCCTCCACATCATCCTCACCATTATCAGACTCATCATCATCACCATCCTCCACATCATCATCATCATCATTCTTCACATCATTTTCACCATTATCATCATCATCCTCACCATCATCATCCTCCACAGAATCCTCACCATTATCATCAACATCATCCTCCACATCATTATCATCATCCTCCACATTATCCTTATCCTCCTCCATATCATCCTCATCATCCTCCACATCATCACCATCATTTATCATCATCCTCCACATCATCATCCACATCATTATTATCATCATCATCATCCACCACATTATCCTCAAAATTATCATCCTCATCCTCCACATCATCATCACCATCATCATCCTCCACATTATCCCAAAATTATCATCCTCATCATCCTCACCATCCTCCACATCATCCTCACCATCCTCCACATCATCCACACCATTATCATGATCATCCTCCACATCATCATCACCATCATCATCCTCCACATTATCCCAAAATTATCATCCTCACCATCCTCCACATCATACTCACCATCCTCTACATCATACTCACCATTATCATCATCATCATCATCCTCCTCATCATCTTCACCATCATCATCCTCCACCCTAGCCTCATCATCATCACCATCCTCCACATCATCCTCATCCTCCACATCATCATTATCCTCATCCTCCACATCATCCTGACTAACATTATCGTAATCATCATTATCCTCCACATCATCCTCACCATTATCATCATCATCACCATCCTCCACATCATGATCACACTTCTCATCACATCCTCCTCCTCATTATGATATTATTACTGCAGCACCAAGAGGACCTGTAATGTCATCATCATACTCATGAATATTATTATGATAGGATCTGTAGTGTATGATGAGTGGTATGATGGGTGGAGGGCAGTATGTCCTCAATGTGACTTCTAGTTCTGGCTCTCTGTACATACAACACTGGCACTTAGGGTTGATTTGCTAAAACTGGAGAGTGCAAAATCCGGTGCCTCTGTGCATAGACACCATTCAACTTCCAGGTTTTATTGTCAAAGCTTAAATGGATAATAACGGCATCATTTAAAAAAAAAAAAAAACCGTCATGCTTACCTGCTCTATGTAATGGTTTTCCACTTAGCAGCCTCGATCCCCCTCTTCTTGGGTCCCCCGTTGGCGCTCCTGGCTCCTCCTTCCTGTTGGGTGCCCCCATAGCAAGCAGCTTGCTATGGGGACACCTGAGCAGGAGCGCTCCCTAGCTGCTGCTCTGTGTGTCCGTTCACACACGGAGCTGTGGCTCGGCCCTGCCCTCTCTCTCTTCTTGTTGGCTCACTAGCTGTGATTGACAGCAGTGGGAGCCAATGGTTTCCGCTGCTGTCTCAGCCAATGAGGAGAGAGAGTCGCGGGATAGTCAAGACTCCAGTGCAGATCGCTGAATCGGAGGAGGCTCAGGTAAGGATTGGGGGGGGGGCTTGGTGGGATGCTGCACAGAGAAGGTTTTTTACCTTCATGCATAGAATGCATGAAGGTAAAAAACCTTCAGCCTAACATCCACAGTAATTAAACAAGCTGAAGTTAGAAGCTGATTGGCTGCCATGCACAGCTGCACCAGATGTTGCACTCTCCAGTTTTAGTAAATCAGCACCATGGAGTCCTCACATTTTCTGATATAATTTCAGAGAATACTTCTATTTCAGTTCTATATGGAGCAGGAAGATGCATGTCCTGTCAGGAACTTGTCACTACTGGTGACCACACTGGGTGAATTTCCCCTAAGTTCCTGTCTGGTGTTACTGAAAATGATGACATCCTATGTCTCCATCTCTTTTCAGACCTGGAATTCTACCACAGCTACAGAATTTTCCATGTCTCCATCCCACCCAAGAGGATGTCCTCTGTATTTAATCCAACACAGAAGGATTGTCTCTGCTTATATTCCACCCAGGAGAAGTTCCTCGGTCTCTATCCCACCCAGGAGAATATTCTCTGTCTCTGTGCCACCCAACAGAATGTCCTCCATACCATCCAAGAGGGTGTGTACTGTCTCCATCCCACAAAGGAGGATGTCCTCTGTCTCTGTCCCCCAAGGATGATGTCCTCTTTCTCTGCCCCCCCCCCCCCCCCCCGTCCTCCTCCAGAGGATGCTGCCCTCTACAACCAGGAGGATGTCCTCCATCTCAAGTCCACCCATTATGATGTTCTCTGTCTTCATCCCACCCATTATGATGCCCTCTGCCTCTATCCCACCCACGAAGATGTCCTCTGTCTCCATCCCACCCAGGAATATGTCCCCTGTATCCACCCCACCCAGGAGGAATTCCTCTGTCTACATCCCACCCAAGAGGAAGTCCTCTGTCTATAGCCTGGTAGCTAAGTCTCCATCATGCCATAAGCATAGCCGACATCACCTTCACCTTGAGTAGTCATAGTAGAATAACGTCTCAGCTTTCTTATTGCCTTTGAACATAGTAGGCTGTACCCTTAGTGTGTAGATTTACGCTCATTTTCTGTCCGGGTGACACCCTGTTTGAGGGGAAATCTCACATTATGACAGAAGATAACATATAATGGGTGTGACGGGGTAATAGGCTGTTCTGAGATCTGGAATCTTTCTGATGGATGTGTCCTCCAGTATGGTGGAACCAATAGAAGAACGCGTATTAATAGAATACAATATAGAACAGTTTTTTTTATTAAAGTGAACTAGTCAAGAGACGCTGATCAATCACACTAATGGAATCTCTATGGTACCATTTCTCTTGTCCTGTATGTTGGGTATAATTTTTGGAATCTCTTCTTATTCTGTATGTATGGACTCTGCACAGAACCATTTCTCTTGTCTTGTATGCTATGTGTGATTCTAAGTATCTGTTCTTGTTCTGTATGTATGGACTCTGGACTCTGCACAGTACCACTTCTCTTGTCCTGGATGCTGGATGTAGTTCTTTGTATCTGTTCTTGTTCTGTATGTATGGACTCTGCACAGTACCACTTCTCTTGTCCTGGATGCTGGATGTAGTTCTTTGTATCTGTTCTTGTTCTGTATGTATGGACTCTGCACAGTACCACTTCTCTTGTATGTGGATGTAGTTCTTTGTTTATGTACTTGTTCTGTCTATGTATGGACACTTGTCCTGGATGCTGGATGCAGTTCTTCGTATCTGTTCTCATTCGGTGTGTATGGACTCTGCACAGCACCACTTCTCTTACCCTGTATCCCGAGTAGGGGCGGACTGACCATTTGGAAACTCGGGCACTGCCCAAGGGCCCGGAGTCAGTAGGGGGCTCCATGAGATGCCCCTGGTACCTTTCATAGGCATTTTTGGGTGTGGTTTGAGTGTGGGCGAGGGCACAGGGGCCCCATGATCCCCTATTGCCCGGGGGCCCCCTGAGTTGCCAGTCCGCCCATAATCCTGAGTGTAATTTTCGATATCTGTTCTCATTCTTTAAGTATGGCCTCTGCATAGTACCACTTCTTGTGGCTCCATGAAATCCTATTTGTTTGTACTCTGTTGTAAAATTGATATATCTCTGTATCTCCTGGATCTAGTTGGGAATGGAAATTGACTGATCTCAGTCTGAAGTTCAGGGTGATAATTTGTGGTTTTATGGTTGTAGAATTATGGCAAACAATAACCTGTTTTTCCTCTGTGTGCTGTTTGTGCATGTTATTATCCTGTGACATGCGTCCTCTATCCGGTGAGGTGGGGGTTCACCCTTGTCTCCTCAAATCAGCAGCAACCATTATATCCTCTAACCAGCTGGGGGGCTTCACCCTTACCTCCTCTAACTGGCAGGGGGTCCACCTTTACCTCGCGTAATCAGCAGGGGGCTTCATCCTTACATCATCTAACCATAAAGGAGCTTTTTACCCTTAGAGCTGTTTCAAACAGGGGCTGACTGACCATTTGGAAACTCGGGAACTGCCCGAGGGCCCGAGGTCAGTAGGGGGCAGGGGCGGACTGACAACTCATGGGGCCCCCGGGCAATAGGGGATCATGGGGCCCCTGTGTCCTTGCCCAAACTCCAAAAAAACTATGATAAAGGTACCAGGGGCATCTCATGGGGCCCCCTACTGACCCCGGGCCCTCGGGCAGTGCCCGAGTTTCCAAATTTTTTGATGTGTTCCAATGCTTTTTTTTAATGTGTTTTCAATGCGTTTCAGTGCATTTTTCCCCTCTCTTGTTTTTTTTCAAAGTTCCCTGTTTTATTTTTCTGTAATACATTCTGGTGCATTTTTGATGCATTTAGATGTGTTCCAGTCCATTCTTTATGTGTTTTGCAAATGCAGCAAGTTCTACTTTTGTTGACTGTACTGGAACGCACTGCAAAGGTGTTAAATTTTAAAAAATATGAAATAAATGTCGCACTCCTAATTTGTGTTATTAGTGCATATCAACTTACACTCTATTACTGCCAAATAAAATGTGAAAAAAAACAATATGTGCCACTTGAATAAATTACTTAAAATCAAATTAATAAATAATAAAAATCTAAATAAAGTCTCTGGTGACAACTAAATAATGACAGTCCCAAAAAAAACTTATGTGATCCAAAAATATATAAAGTAAATTAATAAACAAAAAAAGTCTCTGGTGATGAGAAAAAATGTGACAATCCCAATATTACAAAAAAGTGATCCAAAATTGATAATTGCGATTTTCAGTGACTCCTTAATGTGATTAGGTTATGCGCTCACCTCCTTTTAAGCCTATTAACCACCTCCCATCCAGCCGTTGTATATAAACGGCCAGACGGTGGCAGTGCAGGGTCAGGTGGCAGTTTATAAACGGCCTCCCCGCACCCTGCTTGTGCGCACTTCCTGGGAGCGCGCAGCACCGCGATCAGGTGCCCGCTGTGTTGTCCGAACACAGTGGAACACGGATCGTCGGACGGGACCTCTGTACGAGGTCCCGATCATGTGATCACTGATTGGTCAATCAGTGATCACATGCAGAGTAGTAAGCAAGATGTCACTTGTGACATCATTGCTTACTACATGTGAAATCTGTGAATGATCACAGAGGTCACATGGTACAAGGCTATTCAAAACAGCCTTGTACCATGTGACAAGCTGTGACCAATCACAGCTCACTCAGTAATTCTCAATGGCTGCAAGAATGCAACTAGAGAGAAGGAGAAATGATTGTTTTTACATCCTTTATGGGTGTAAAAGCAATCAGTGTAAAAAAAAAAAAAATCTTCATCACCCCCCACAAGTAGTACAGTGTCACCATGGTGACACTACCCCCCACAAGTAGTACAGTGTCACCATGGTGACACTGTACTGCTAGGGTGACAGTATGTAAATAAATAAATAAAAAATAATATAAAAAAAATGTAAAACAAAAAGGTTTAAAAATTATAATTTTTGGTTATAAACTAATATTTGGGTTATTTTTTTTTTTACTAAAAATATAACGGAATACATTTTAGCCAAGATTTATGATGAAATATTATTTATTTGCAAAATTTTATAAGAAAAATGTTTGGACTTTTTAATTTACATAGCAAAACAAATAAAAATCCCAGTGGTGAAATATACCACCAAAATAAATCTTTATCTGTCTAAAAAAAATGCTAAAAAATTCATATGGGTACAGTGTTGCATGACCGCGCAATTGTCATTCAAAGTGTGATAGGACTGAAAGCTGAAAATTGGCCTGGGCAGGAATGGGGTAAAAGTGTCCGGACTTGAAGTGGTTAAAGGCTTACTCCACTTTTTGTTCACAAATGGAACTCTGTATAATATGTTGCACCATATAATGGATGGTGGGTATCCCTTAATTGCTTTCCAATACTCCTCTCCTCATATGCCAATATCCCTGCAGGGATCTCTCATTCCATCTGCTGCTGTTTATCTCCTCCTTAGATATTCCTCAGTAAGAAAGAAATAGGGACATAGTGCCTTATCCTTTAGGACTAAAATACTTTATTATGTGCCCAAATAATGCACTCACATTTAATAAACTATAAAACCGCTTTGTTAAAATGACAATCTGTTAGCTGTGTATACTTGCTGTCCACGGGTGCAGAGTGATGTCGAAGCCCCTCCCCTATGCGTTACACCACAGGTCACGTGGCTTCATCAGGGGGTTGTAAGATGTTAATTTTGCCGTTGGAATCCATTTTAACCTACTGTCTATGCATTTTGATGCAGAAAAAAAACGCACTGGACTGCATGTGGTATGAACCAGCCCTTACTGATTCTAACTGGCAGGGTACTCATCCCTTACCTTCTCTAACTGACATGGGGCTACTCCTTACCTCCTCTCACCAGCAGCGGGATTTAATCTTACCTCCTCTAACTGATAAGGGTCTCCTCTTTTGCCTCCTCTAATCATCACGACAGGGGTTTCCAAACTTTCTAAACAAAGGGCCAATTTACTGTCCTTCAGACTTTGGGGGGGGGGGGCGGGGGGGGGGGGGCACTGTGGCTTTTAGGAATAGAAAGGGTCCTGACATCAGTAGAAATGAACAATATCCCATCTTTGGTGTCAATGAGAGAAATTGTGTCCCATCATTGGTGTCAGTGGAAGAAATTGTGCCTCATCATTGGTGTCAGTGGAAGAAATTGTGCCCCATCATTGGTGTCATTGGGCCCCATTGTTAGTGTAATTGGGAGGAATTGTGCCCGTTCATTGGTGTCAGTGGGGGGAATTATACCCCATTGCTGGTATCAGTGGATAAAATAGTGCCCCAAGGACCAGATAAAAGCAAGCATAGAACTGCATCCACCCCCTGGGCCACAGTTTGAAGACCACTGGTCAGGGGGCTCCACCATTACCTTCTTTAACCAGCAGGGGTCTCCTCCCTTACCTCCTCTAATGAGCAGGGGGCTCCTCCCTTACCTCCTTACAAGCAGGGGGCTCTTCCTTTACCTCTTTGTCATTACACAGCCAACACAGAAAGTAGGTTTGGATAATATTTTTTGCTTATTGTCATAAGCTTTTGTGGTTCAGACAGAAAAACGTCATTTCAATATACAGGAATGCTGACCAAGGTTCATTCACAATCTGTGTATTCATTTTCGTGTAACAGTGTGAATGGGAGGCCAAACACTTCATGTGTATGATGTGCCAAGCAGGGATGAGTCAGATCCTGTGTGTTCTCAGGGGACACTGCAGACATACCAATGAACAACGATCGGAGGGGAGAAGTCTCACCTGGCCTGGTACAAATGTGACGTTCAACCTTCAATCAAGTCTGGAAAATATACGATAACTCCTGTTCTGTAGAACGCACAATCATAAAGCCATCTGTGGAAGTGTGATGGCCCAAAGGTGAACCATGTGACACCAGACATGCCAGTCTTTTGATAAATTATGGCAGAACTATTAATGTTGGGGTCTTCCTATGATACTTCTAGTTCTTGGCCTGAGGTATTGGAGTTTAGTCTCTACACATAACAGAACAGCATTCCAGACCACCCATACATTTATAAAATAGTCTGAGTGGGCTGCAATCCCCTTTAATAGAACTCAAAAACTATCTTTAAAATTCTGCGCTATTTTATATATAATTATTTAAAGTGAAAAGATAAATAATTGAATCCACATGAGCAGCCACCACAATATTGCTGGTAACAAACACAGAAAATACTATACAGAAGTGCGGCGCTTCAAGTAATCAAAAAACATTTGAACTTAGGAGTCCACTCCACAGAAATGAAAATATATGGAATAGGCCCCTCTTCACCGGAACCTCAGTGCTGCTAAAGATGTCTCAAAATGGCCAGCGAAAGATAGAAAAAGTCCACCATCACCAAACACTCTGCCTCTTACCGAATCATGTTGACACCCAGTAATGGATGGGTCAAAAAGCGCTGTATATGTTCCAAAAGGCAAGCCGTAGACCTGGACACTCTTTGGTTCCAAACTTTCACATCAAAAGATGGACTAGAAGGTGAAACTACAAAAGAATTATCCTTGTAGAGGGACAACCCCATTCAAAATTCAAAAATAATCCTCATAGTGTAGCAAGATTAATTACATTTATTGATTCAAAGCATAGTAAAAAACTAAAATACATCAAACAAGAATGTAAAACAGCATGTAACCTTATAAATGAATGGTAAGTTTCCAACCAACAAGATGGCCGCCACATTCCGGTGCGTGCTGACGTCACACACTCTGGTTCCCCGTTTTACATTCTTGTTTGATGTACGTTTTCTACTATGCTTTGAGGCAATAAATGTAATTCATCTTACTACACTATGAGGATTCTTTTTGTATTTTGAATGGGGTTGTCCTCTAGGAGGATAATTCTTTTGTAGTTTCACCTTCTAGTCTATGTTTTGATGTGAAAGTTTGGAACCAAAGAGTGTCCAGGTCTACGACTTGCCTTTTGGAACTTATACAGCGCTTTTTGACCCATCCATTACTGGGGGTCAACATGATTTGGTAAGAGTCAGAGTGTTTGGTGATGGTGGACTTTTTCCTTCTTTCCCTGGCCATTTTGAGACATCTTTAGCAGCATGGAGGTTCCAGTGAAGAGGGGCCTATTCCATATATTTTCATTTCTGTGTATTGGACTCCTAAGTTCAAATTTTTTTGGATTACTTGAAGCACCGCACTTCTGTATAGTATTTTATGTGTATTGTTACCTGCAATATTTGTGGTGGCTGCTCATGTGGATTGAATTATTTATCTTTTCACTTTAAATAATTATATATACCATAGCGCAGAATTGTAAAGATATTTTTTGAGTTCTATTAAAGAGGATTGCCACCCATTCAAAATTCAAAAAGAATCCTCATAGTGTAGTAAGATGAATTAAATTTATTGCCTCAAAGCGTAGTAGAAAACGTACATCAAACAAGAATGTAAAACAGGGGGAACCAGAGCTCGTGACGTCAGCACGCACCGGAACGTGACGGCCATCTTGTTGGTTGGAAATTTACCATTCATTTATATGGTGACATGCTGTTTTACATTCTTGTTTGGTGTACATTTTTTACTACACTTTGAAGCAATAAATTTAATAAATCTTACTACACTATTATGAGGATTCTTTTTGAATTCGAATGGGTTGTCCCTCTACGAGGATAATTCTTTTGTAGGTTCACCTTCTAGTCCATCTTTTGATGTGAAAGTTTGGAACCAAAGAGTGTCCAGGTCTACGGCTTGCCTTTTGGAACTTATACAGCGCTTTTTTTGACCCATCCATTACTGGGGATCAACATGATTCGTTAAGAGGCAGAGTGGTGATGGTGGACTTTTTCTATCTTTCGCTGGCCGTTTTGAGACATCTTTAGGAGCACTGAGGTTCCAGTGAAGAGGGGTTTTTTTCCATATATTTTCATTTCTGTGGATTGGACTCCTAAGTTCAATTTTTTTTGATTACTTGAAGTGTCGCACTTCTGTATAGTAATCCTTTTTAATGTGTCAGGAGATGTTTGTCATATCTGAGGGATCCATTGATGGGTGGAATGGGCTAGGTTTCAAATGTAACCCCAGGAGCCGGAAAAATATTTTTTCTGTAGGTTTTATCTCTTATCTTTATTTCTGGTTGTTGTGTGTACTGTATGTCTCAATTTTTCACATCAGTCTTTGTAACTTTTTGTAACTTTCTATCATCTTTTGCTATTCTCCGCCTACCTAGGGATATTAAATATAATAATGGATAAGAGATTTTTTTCATTTCTTTAAAGAACACAGGAATCTGTAGAGACCATAGTGTGGGTGGTGGCAGCTCAAATATTAATGTGTGCGTGTTCTGTTGATTTTTTGGCAGCTACCTAGTCCTCGGATTAGGGGGACTTTTAGGGTTCCCATAATAAATGGCCAGCTTGCTGACTGATTTATCAAGACCAGAGACAGATGGCAATACCTCTTACAATGTCCAGTCTTTCTCCTCATGGTACTCCTTGGGACCCCCATGCACTATCCGTGACACTCCTCTGTCAGGGGGTGCAGTGAGCTCAGTCCATGGGGTCTATATTGTATTATGTTTCTTTCATTGTCTGTATGCGAGTCAGAACACAGAGGTGGAGACACATTCAGGATCTGCCGTTTTATTCATTCTTTGGTAAGCAGGAAACAAGCAAAACCCAGAAAGAAAACAAGAAATGGGGATCACTCTGCAGAAACCCCAAATATAACAGAGACCTCTCCTAAACTCAGGGCGGCGGCAGCAGGTGTCAGGGAGAGAGACATGGGGCAAGGACCAGGGACCAGAGGGACCTGGAGAGAGCACTGTCTGCAGGATCAAGGGGTGCACAGATCAGGGTTCTAGGTAGAGGGGGCTGGGGTACCAGCAGAAATAGGGTGCTGTCAATTTGGGAGAGGAGGGTGGTGGATTCCAGAAAACAAATGGGATGCTGGAGACCAGGGGAGAGTGGGGAGCAAGAGAGAAAAGGGTGCTTGGGTGATGCAGTCCAGTAGAGAGTGGGATGGTGGGTATCAGAATAAAGCAGGGTATTTAGGACCAGTGAAGACCGGGCCTAAGGAGAGAAAAGGGTATGTGGGTGATGCGGTCCAGTAGAGAGTGGGGTGGTGGGTTCCAATAGAAAGCAGAGTGCTTAGGACCAGGGAAGAGTGGTGTGATAGGGTCCTGGAGAGAAAAGAGATGGTAGGTTCCAGAGAGGTGATGAGTACTTATAAACGGTGATCTATAAATATATAGGAATACAACTTCGGAACTCTGAGACCAAGTATAGGTGGAAGTGTACGAATTTGGAGGGGGCAGAATAAATAATTATATGGCTTCATATATACTATGAGACACTGGCCTCCCTAAACTTAAAGCAATCCATAGTTCAATTTCAGGACGGGAAGAGACCATCCAATGAGCGAGAGCACAGAAGTAAGAGCCCAAGAGTCCCACATTTTAGAAAGAGTGGAGAAATATCTGTAGATGTCTCTATAGCTCTGCACTATCACTCTCCACTGACTCACACTGCGCTATCCTCCCTCCCTGGAATTTAAATGGTGGTACCATCGCCCCAAATTTGTTAACCTGTGCTTAGTCACTCTCACACAGTAGAGTTCTCTGATTCCTGTCTCTTTTAGGGGTTGTACTCCTCCTTGGTCTACCTCAAGGATGGTACACTCTCCTTCAGTAGTGGTACTCCTCTTTGGGCCCAATCAGCTGGGGCACTCTTTCCTGGTCCTTCTCAGTGGTTTTACTCCTCTCAGGTCTCCTTAAGTGGTGGTAGTCTCTCTCCCTGAAGGGGTTGGTACTCTTGCTGGTGTTGGTACTCTTGCTGTCCTTTAGGGATGGTAGTACTTCCTGCTCTCCCTCAGTGGTGGTACTCTCTCCCATATGAGTAGCACTCTTTCTTGGTTTCCTTCAGGATCAGGGGTGCTACTCCTTCCTGGTGCTTCTCTCTTAGTTTTGGTATTCCTCTTTGGTTTCTTAGGGGATTCTCCTTTCTGATCTCCCTCAGTGGTGGTATTCCTTCCAGGTCTCCATAAGTAATGGTTCTCTCTACTTCAAGACTGGTACTCATCCATGGTCTCCATCAGTAGTGGTACTCTTCTCAGCTTTCCCTAAGTGGTAATACTCTCTGTCCCCCAGTGCTAGTGCATCTCCCTGGTCTCCTGCAGTGGTGGTACTACTCTCAGGTCTCCATCAGTGGTGATACTCTCTCGCACAGGGGTGGCACTCCTGCCTAGTCTCCATCAAGAGTAGGAGTCATCTTGGAACTTTTTCCAGTGCCCTCTCAGGGGATACCCTGTCTCCAGTACTGTGTGCTTTCTCTTTCTCACACCCATCTTTATGGTTGCCATCAGTGCTGGTACAATCTCTTCCTCTCATGCAGTGAAATTCACTCTACCCACAGTTCTGATACTCTCTTAGCGATAGTAAGCTTTTCTTGATCTCTAACAAATAGTGGTGCTCTCCCCTAGATTCTCCCCTCAGTGACACTACTCTCTACCCAATCTTTCTCATATGGTGGTACGCTTTCCCCAGTATTTTTCATAGGTAGGTACTCTCTCCTTGGTATCTCTCATGCAGTAGTACACTCTCCCCAGGATGCCTCATAGGTTGGTATTCTTTCCCCAGTACCTCTCATAGGGTGGTTCTCTCTCCTTGATGTCTCTCATTTGGTTGAACATTGTCTTCCTGGTCCCCCTCATATGGTGGTGCTCTCACGCTGGTATCTCTCATAGGTTGGTACTCGCTGCCTGCCCAGCATTTCTCATAGGGTGGTACTCTGTCCCCATTAACTCTCATAGGATGGTACGCTCTCTCCCTGCTCTCTCGGTGGTGGAATCCTCACTCCCTCTGAATCTCTTTTAATGTTAGTTTCTCCCTGGTCTCTCTCACTAAGGTCATACTCTCTCCCAGTCTCTCTTAATGGCTGTACTCTCTCGCTGCCTGGTTTCTTATAAACAAAGGAACTCTCTCTCAATGGTGGTACTCTCCCTGGTCTCTGGGCAGGGTTGTAGTCTCTCTCCCCGGTCTCTGGACAGTGGTGGGGTGGGGACAGGGAAAAGGGTCTCAGTGCAGTGTGTTAAGAAGAGTTGGGGCCTCTCAGTTACTTGAAGGGGACGAGTCATTGCAGAGTACAATCTCCAGCTCCTTGCGGTAGAGGCGCCCCCCGTCACACAGCGACATGATGCTCTGGCGGTATCCGGTCAGGCTCTGAATATCCACCTCCTAAAACCAAACAACATGGATGAAACAATACTGTCAAGCCCCTGGTTCACAAACCTGCTCCATGTATTCTGTAAGGACTCTCACCTTTTTACTTTTCTCGAAGAAGTCTTTCAGTAAAGCGTCCAGTTCATTCTCATCAATGAAGCCATTCCGGTCCTGCAAGAGTCAAAGGTGAAGATAGGAATCAGTCTATGTGTACCTTGTATACAAACCTCCTATATATGATGGGATCAAAGAATATACAGGTTCCCCATATAATGGGGAGCCCAGGAGTATACAGACTATATATATATATATATTTATTATAATATAGGGAGCCCAAGAGTATTTAATTTATCTAAAGTAAAAACCCTATGTGTTTCAGGGACAGACTCTATCCCCATCACCAGTGGTTGTAATGATGTATATTATGGAAAGAAAGGAGACTATGTGAAAACACTAGTGTCATGGGTACAGTAGGACTCACTAGATGACACTGGATGGTCTGGGGTGTGCTGGAGTCAAGGGGCACACAGGGGTGCACTGGAGTCACAGAATTACCTGGAAGCTATGGGGTCCATGGAGTCTCAGTTTGCACTGGGGTAACCAGATGACACAGGATGCTCAGGGGTCATTAGATGACATAAGATGCTCTGGGGTTCACTGAAACTATGGGGTCACCAGATAACACAAGCTGTTTAGGGGGTCACCAGATGACATGGGATGCTCAAGGGTCACCAGATGACATGGGATGCTCATGGATGACTGGATAACACAGGATGCTCAGGGGTGACTTGATGACATGTCTAGAGGCCACTGGATAAAAAGCTAAAAAGGTTGGAAGTTTCTTCTGAGGTTGGAAAGGGCCTAGGGACACTTTAGTCTTTGCTATATCCTGATGGGCCAAACTGGGTGATTAATGCTTAGGGTAGCTTTAGGAACTGCCATGACTTGTCTTAATTGGTACCATCAGGGTATGTAAGAGAACAAATAATACATTTGACTTTTCTTGATACACCTCACTATATTTTATGACATCTCTAATTTGAGATGGCCTTTACCACCTTACCTTGTCATAGAAGTTGAATATTGCATTAAACTCATCACAGCTCAACTTCAGTCCCTGTAAAATAATGTTTATGCTGTGATTTACATTATATACTGTTCACCACTCCACTACACACACTGTGCTGTACACTTTATACTCCACCTTGTACACACTCTGCTTTACATCATATACACTGCTCCACTCCACTGTATACATTGTTCTGTACGTTATATACGCTACACCATAGATTAGATACTCCACACTACTGTATACACTGTACAATACAGTGCCTTGAAAAATATTCATACCAATTTTCCACATGTTGTCATGTTACAACCAAAAACGTAAATGGATTTTATGGGATAGACCAACACAAAGTGGCACATAATTGTAAGTGGAAGGAAAATGATAAATGGTTTTCACATTTTTTTTACAAATAAATACAGTATGTGAAAAAGTGTGGCGTGCATTTGTATTCAGCTCTCCGGAGTCAATACTTTGTAGGACCCCCTTTCGCTGCAAGTCTTTTTGGGGATGTCTCTACCAGCTTTGCACATCTAGAGAGGGACATTTTCTGCCCATTCTTCTTTGCAGAATCGCTGACCAGCAAGCTCTGTCAGGTTGGATGGAGAGCATCTGTGAACAACAATTTTCAAGTCTTGCCACAGATTTCTCAAATGGATTTAGGTCTGGACTTTGAATACTGGGCCATTATAAAAAACACATGAATATTCTTTAATCTAAACCATTCCATTGTACCCGCTCCATTGCTGTGTGTTTAGGGTTGTTGTCCTGCTGGAAGGTGAACCTCCGCCCCAGGCTCAAGTCTTTTGCAGATTCTAACAGGTTTTCCATCCAAAATTGCCCTGTATTTGGTTCTATCCATCTTCCCATCAACTCTGACCAGCTTCCCTGTCCCTGCTGAAGAAAAGCATCCCCACAACATGATGCTGCCCACCACCATGTTTCACGGTGGGGATGGTGTGTTCAGGGTGATGTGCGAAGTTTGTTTTCTGCCACACATAGTGTTTTGCTTTTAGGCAAAAAGTTAAATTTTGCTCTCATCTGACCAGAGCACCTTCTTCCACATGTTTGCTGTGTCCCCCACATGGCTTCCTGCAAACTGGACTTCTAATGGCTTTCTTTCAACAATGGCTTCTTGCCACTCTTCCATAAAGGTCAGATTTGTGGGGTGCGTGACTAATAGATTCTCCCAACTGAGCTGTGGATCTCTGCAACTCCTCCAGAGTTACCATGGGCTTCTAGGCTGCTTCCCTGATTAATGCTCTCCTTGCCCGGCCTGTCAGTTTAGGTGACGGCCATGTCTTGGTAGGTTTGCAGTTGTGCCATACTCTTTCCATTTTTGGATGATGGATTGAATAGAGCTCTGTGAGATGTTCAAAGCTTAGGATATTTTTTTTTTTCATAACCTAACCCTGCCTTAAACTTCTCCACAATTTTATCCCTGACCTGTCTGGTGTGTTCCTTGGACATCATGATGCTGTTGTTCACTAATGTTCTCTAACAAACCTCTGAGGGCTTCACAGAACAGCTGTATTTTACAGGCAGGGAAACAGAAGTCCACAGGCGCCTGATCAGGGTAGTATGGTGGATTATTGAGAACATGTACGCCACGCTGAGCCAAGAATTGGTGCACACGGAGCACACAGTGCGCAGGCGCATTATCATGCAGTGACATCCACTGTCCAGTCCTGCGCAACTCTGGCTGAATATGGCAGATGCGTCATAGCAACTGTTCCAAAACTTCCTCATAGAATGCAGCGTTCATGGTATGACCCCTAGGACTGTATTCCTTATGGATGATGCCATCATTGGTGAAGAAGGCGATCAACATTGTCTTGACCTTGGAGTTTTGCAGGCGACTCTTTTTGGGTCGCGGGCAAACGCCATTCCATGTCTTGCTGCTTGGATTCCGGATCGAATTGGTAGCACCAGGTATCATCCCCTGTGTTGGTGGATGGATCCTGGTCACACATGGTAATAAAATCTCCAGAGGTTTCCATCTGTTTTGCTTTCTGTTCGTCTGTCAGCTTGTGTGGCACAAACCGGAAACAGATCTTCCACTTACTCAAATCCTCGTGAACACTTTGCCCACCATCGTCCTTGTTGCCGATCTTGTGCCACCATTTATCGTGCTTGATCACGTCTGGGGTTCTGCTTTTCAACAGCTGACCAGAACGTGGCTCATCCTCAGTCGTTTCCTTCCCACTGCGAGAAGGAAGCAATGTGCTTGAAGCAGCCGTAAATAAACATTTTCTGCTTACGGCTTCTGTCCCGTACACTTGCACCTACATTTCCATTGCTGGTTTCCTCAATGTGTAGCAGAACTTGATGTTCACTCACTGCTCTATTGCACTGCAACCCTACCTCTCACACTGATTACGGTCGATTGCCCGCAGCGGCTTTACCCTGACAGTTATGTGTACTCCATGCTAGGTGGTGCTTCTCGATGTGTCTCTGGATAGCCATGTGCATGCGCACAAACCTGGTCCATGTTGCCTTTGAGATATCAGACTATTCACTGAAATATTTAGGCACACCTTGTATACTCCTCTGAATACACTCAGCTATACATTATATACTCCACTCTATACACGCTTCTGTACATGATATATCCACCCTGCTCAACTGTATACACTTGGCTATACATTATATACTCCACTCTTTACACACTGCTGTACATTATATACTCCACTCTATACACGCTTCTGTACATTATATACTCCACCCTGCTCAGCTGTATACACTCAGCTATACATTATATACTCGACAGCGCTATATAAGTACCTGAAATAAATATACTCCACTCTATACACTCTGCTGTACATTACATACTCCACACTGTTCCACTTTTAAACACTACACAGTACATTATATACTCCACACTGCTCAGTTGATTACATTGTGATGTACATTATATAATGACATGTCGATATGCCGAGTGTATACAGTTGAGCAGTGTGGAGTATATACTCGGCTATACATTATATACTCCACTCTATACATGCTGCTGTACATTATATACTTCACGCTGCTCAACTGTATACACTCAGCTATACATTATATACTCCACTCTACACACGCTTCTGTACATGATATACTCCACCCTGCTCAACTGTATACACTCAGCTATACATTATATACTCCACTGTATACACACTGCTGTACATTATATACTCCACCCTGCTCAACTGTATACACTCAGCTACACATTATATACTCCACACTGCTCAACTGTATACACTCAGCTACACATTATATACTCCACTCTATACACGCTTCTGTACATTATATACTCCACACTGCTCAACTGTATACACTCATCTATACATTATATACTCCACACTGCTCAACTGTACTGTATACACTCAGCTATACATTATATACTCCACTGTATACACGCTTCTGTACAGGATATACTCCACCCTGCTCAACTGTATACACTCAGCTATACATTATATACTCCACTGTATACACACTGCTGTACATTATATACTCCAGACTGCTCAACTGTACTGTATACACTCAGCTATACATTATATATTCCACTGTATACACACTGCTGTACATTATATACTCCACACTGCTCAACTGTATACACTCATATAGCGCTGTTGAGTATATAATGTATAGCTAAGTACCTGAAATAAATAAATATACTCCACTCTATACACTCTGCTGTACATTACATACTCCACACTGTTTCACTTTAAACATTGCACAGTACATTATATACTCCACACTGCTCAGTTGATTACATTGTGATGTACATTGTATAATGACATGTCGATATGCCGAGTGTACACAGTTGAGCAGTGTGGAGTATATACTCGGCTATACATTATATACTCCACTCTATACACGCTGCTGTACACTATATACTCCACACTGCTCAGTTGATTACATTGTGATGTACATTGTATAATGACATGTCGATATGCCTGTGTCCTCTGACAATTCTCACATACCTGAAACTTCAGTAGAAAGTTCTCCTGCACGGGAAGCAGCCTGCAATACAGAACACATAATATTAGAAGGTCTTGCTGGAAGTGGTAGGAGACCCATTACTGGACAGAAGATTGTTAGTGTCCTGATACACACAGCTGATACACTGAAGGAACACCACTTAAATTAAAGTGTATCTTTACCCAAAAATATTTTTTCCCAGTTTTAGATGTAGTGGGGAAGGATTAGAATATTGGAGAGATTCCTTCACTTCCTGTCTGGTAAAAATGTTGTCTTTGGGGCTCCGATAGTGAAATTTCCCCTCACTTTCTGTCCCAGAGGGCAATACAACCTGATAGAGATTCTAACTCTTCTCCACTCCACGCAAAACTAAAATTATTTTTTTTTTGGGGGGGCTAGATACACTTAAGATTTTTTGCTTGCATGTGATTGGATAACAGACATCAGCACAGCTCCCTCTCACTCATGAAGTCAAATGAATGTGCTTTACTCAGCAACATACTCTGTCGATTAGCACAAAAAGAAAAGAAGCCCCAACATTACCTGGACATCTCGGACAGGCAGAGCTTCCCATCACCATTCATGTCAAACATGCGCAGCTGCAAGATAAGGAAATGGAGTGTCAGCTTAGCAGACAAGGGGGGAAACACTGTATACCTTAACCCTTTGGTGAGCAGACCAGATGTGCCATCACTATGGGATGGATAACTTGCAGGGGCGGACTGACAATTTGGAAACTCAGACACTGACCGAGGGCTCTGGGTCAGTAGGGGGCCCCATGAGATGCCCCTGGTACCTTTTTCATAGGCTTTTTTGAGTTAGAGCAAGGACACAGGGGCCCCATGATCCCCTATTGCCCGGGGGCCCCATGAGTTGTCACTCCGCCCCTGATAACTTAATAATTCTACTCTGTATAACTTTTACATTGCTTCTAATTACATACACAGCTTTTGTTTCTTCTCTTTTAGTAAGCATGTCACTATGATTTTATAAATGTACAAATAAAAGAAATACACTACTAAATCGCTGCACACGGCTATCAACAGTAACAAATGTTGACTGCAGTTGTCACCCTGCCTTACCCTGACAGCTGGGACAAGCAGGGTCAGGAAGAAAGAGGTGACGCCCTCTAAGTGCAGTATGAAAGCTTTTTAACCCTTTGAGGACCAAGGGACGTATTTGTCCCATGTTTGTAATTGCGTGTATCATCTGATTAAGAACTTAAAACTCTTTTTTTTTTTTTGGTTTGAGTCAAAATATTAGTTCTTATCAACAAAAACAAATGGATCTAGCTTTTTGCCAATTATTTCATGAAATGGCTTAGTTACAGCAACTGAAGTGTACGAACTTTAAAAACAAAAAAATTTATTCTTTTGGCGTTCCAAAACCTGACGATCCTCAAAGGGTTAATGGATAAAAAGTGTAAAAACATGGGATAAAATGTAATAAAACTAAGAGAAGAGATGATTTATTACATTTTATCACATTTTTAATCCCCCAATTGTCCACTCCTGCGTTTAATGATAGCCCTCTTGCTGTGGGTTGTTTAATCCTCAAGCTGTGTCTGCCTGTAGGAGGGGTTCCGCTACTCCTCCCCTCGCTGAGAGTACAAATGCCCCACATCAAGATGGCGTCCTTATGGCCTGATGAAGGAGCACACATGCTCCAAACGTCGCCAACCCCCTGCCATCATGTGACCGGAAGTGACGCCTCAACTGAGGGAATCCCAGAACTAGGGAGGACATGCTGGAAGCCACCAGCACCACCGCCAGGTGCCGTTGACCGCCATCCATCCAGAGGCTTTACACTCCTTCACTACAGCGGATGCTTATTAATTTACAAGCGCAAACCTACTTATGATTTGTGAGTGGCCTGTATTACTACAGTGTATTATCTACAATACACTGTATTGCTACACTTTTTATCCATTAAAAAGTTTTCATACTGCACTTAGAGGGCGCCATCCTTTTCTACCTGATCTTCCACAGGGCCTCTCTAGCTCGTTATTTGCCAGCTGCCTCCACTCTGTGTTGCATCAGAAATACCTATAGGACTCTAAGGACATTTTATTTGTATATTTATTACAGTATATTGGTCATGATTTATTTCCCCTAATTCCATCACCATTAATTAGATGTTTATACATACTATTGTATGGCACATCTACCTCCTTACTCCATCTCGGAGTGCGCCGAATATCCTACTTGCCTTTTTTTCTGATTTGGGGCAAGCAGGGAGCTCACAGTACACCCTGCATGGGGCTCAGTGACGGCGGAGGCCAGCAAGGAGCTCACAGTACACCCTGCATGGGGCACAGTGACGGCGGAGGCCAGCAAGGAGCTCACATTACACCCTGCATGGGGCTCAGTGACGGCGGAGGCCAAGCAAGGAGCTCACATTACACCCTGCATGGGGCTCAGTGACGGCGGAGGCCAGCAAGGAGCTCACATTACACCCTGCATGGGGCTCAGTGACGGCGGAGGCAAGCAAGGAGCTCACATTACACCCTGCATGGGGCTCAGTGACGGCGGAGGCCAGCAAGGAGCTCACGTTTACACCCTGCATGGGCACAGTGACAGTGACGGCGGAGGCCAGCAAGGAGCATTACAGCAAGCAAGGAGCTCACATTACACCCTGCATGGGGCAGTCACAAGGAGCTCACGTTACACCCCATGGGGCATGGGCTCACATTACACCCTGCATGGGGCACAGTGACAGCGGAGCCGAGTAAGGAGCTCACATTACAGGAGGGAGCTCACACCCTGCATGGGGCACAGTGATCCTCAGCTGAGCTGAGGTTAGCAGGGAACTCACATTATATCTGTGCAAGGCACAGTGACAGCTGAGACCAGGAGGGAGCTCACATCACATCCTCAGGAGGGAGCTCACATCACATCCTCAGGAGGGAGCTCACATCACATCCTCAGGAGGGAGCTCACATCCTCAGCTCACATCACATCCTCAGGAGGGAGCTCACATCACATGAGACCTCAGGAGGGAGCTCACATCACATCCTCAGGAGGGAGCTCACATCACATCCTATGTGAGACACACAGTGACAGCTGAGGCCAGCAGGGAACTCACATTACATCCTGTGGAGGGGACAGCTGAGGCCAGCAGGGAATTTACATTACATCCTATGGAGTGTATGGTGACAGCTGAGGCTTGCAGGGAACTTACATTACATCCCATGGGAGGCACGGCGACAGCTAAGGCCAGCAGGGGACTCACATTATATCTTGTGCAGGGCACAGTGACAGCTGCGGCAAGAAGCGATCTCACATACCGTCCTGTGAAGGCACAGTGACAGCTGAGGCCAGCAGGGAGTACGCATTCCATCCTCTATAGCAGTGTTTCTCAACTTTTTTTCAGTCCAGGCACCCTTTAAAATTATGGACAGTCTTGAGGCACCCCATTCTAAAATGGGGTGCCTCAAGACTGTCCATAATTTTAAAAGAGCACCCCATTCTAATATGTGAAAAACTATTCTAATCGTTTTATATATCGCAGCAACATCCACACATGTAGGACACCCAACATTAGAGGTGATTTATTCTTCCAAAGCAAATACACTTTTTCACACTGGTACTGACTAGTATTCTAATGTTTCCCTTCTCCTTCAGGTTTTCTCCATCACTGAGCTAATGTGACCCGAGGACTGATAGAAAGGGGCGGGGGAGGGGCAAACTAGGATGCTGTGCAGACAGCTGACATCTTCCTTATCAACTGATTATGTCATTGGTTGTCAGGACGCATGCGGCTGGAAGGTTGTAATGGTGCGCAATGAAAACCTGTGACTTTGTGTAACTAAAAGGCAGGCTTGATCCACCCACTGGCTTGTATACAAATTTTGGGCAATTTTTAGAAATTTTGCCAAGACACCCCTGAAGAAACCTCAAGGCACCCTGGTTGAGAGAGGCTGCTCTATAAACACACAGTGACAGTGGAGCCCAGCAGAAAACTTACATTGCACCCTGTATGAGGCCCAGCGACAAGCAGGGAACTCACATTACATCCTATGCAGTACAATTGAGAATCTCTCTCCCACATCCCAGATTTCTGTCTTTTATCTGTTGTGTGAGCCTATTTTAGGATTATAATAATTATTCCACTTTCACATAGGCGTTTTTGCCGCGCTGAGTATTTTTTTTTTAAAGGACACGTGTCTTTAAAACTCACCAAAAATGCTTCTCAGAGGCATTTTCCATTAATTTCAATGGGAAGAAGTGTGTTTTTGGGGCGTTTTTTTTTTAACTCACCAAACATGCCCCAAAGATGCTGCAAGCAGGAGTTTTTACACCGCAACGCCCCAGTGTGAAAACATACATAGATATACATTCACATACATAGTGAAGCATTTTTCTTGAGCTTTTTTGAACACAAAAATGCTTCAAAAACTCCTCAGTGTGAAAGTAGCCTTGGGCAGCACTGTGGCTAAATGGTTAGCACTTCCGCCTGGCAGTACTTGGGTCGTTGGTTCAAATCCCAACCATGGCACCTCCTGCCTGGAGTTTGCATGTTCTGCCTGTGTAGGTTTCCTCTGGGAACTCCGGTTTCCTCCCACACTCCAAAGACATGCTGGTAGGTTAATTGGATCCTGTCTAAATTGTCCCTAGTATGTGTATGTATGAATGTGAGTTAGGGACCTTAGATGGTACGCCCTTGAGGGTTAGGGACTGATGTGAATCTGCTAGATAGATAGATAGATAGATAGATAGATAGAGCGCTGCGTAAAATTGACGGCACTGTCAGTACCTGAAATAGATTAAAAAAAAAAAAAGAAGCATGTGGGGATTTTTCCCTATAAAGATAACATGGAGCCCCAAGCTCTAGGACCCGTGGCTTGGACACTTACAATGGTCTGTGTATACTCCTGCAGCTTCTTCTCATCAAATGGCCGATTGGCTTTCTTCAGGAGGTCGCAGAGGAACCCCTACAACAAAGAACAGAGGAGATGAGCAGGATCCACAGCACAGGATTGTTCTGTATGTAGCGTGGGAGAGATGACATTGTCAATACTGTAAGATGAGGAAGAAGTTTTCCATGTAATGGGGCTGATTTACTAACTCTGCAGAGTGCAAAATCTGGTGCAGCTCTGCATAGAAACCAACCAATCAGCTTCCAGGTTTTTTTGTTGTCAGAACTGATTGGTTACCATGCAAAGCTGCACCAGATTTTGCACTCTCCAGTTTTAGAAAATCACCCCCAATGGCTTTCATGTGTAATACATGGAATCTACACTAGTTGAGGTTAGGTTCACATCTGTGCAGATTGCGGTTGATGCATTTTGCGTTTTTTTTTTTTCCCACACATGTTTTTGATGCCTTTTTTTGGCATTTTGGTTTTGTGCTTTGTGTGACTTTAGCTGGTTGTCAAGGAGCAGGCAGCTGCCAGCATCCTTAACAACCAGTAAACAACATGCTTGTTAAGGAGCAGGCGGCCACTGCATCCTTAACAACCGATGAGTCATCTGGGATTCCCCGCTGACAATTGAGTGTAAAATAAAACAATTGCTGGCATTTAAAATTCAGGGAAAAGTGTGGGGTCATCCCCCCTCAAGCCATACCAGGCCCTTCGGGTCTGGTAGAGATTTTAAGGTGAACCCCATGCTGAAATTAAAAAAACAAAAAAAACAAACAAACAAAAATGCAGCATGCAGCCCACAGGCCAGGAAAGGAGGGGGGGGGGGGGGGGGGGGGTTGCCCCCCTCCTGAACCATGTGAGGCAAGATGCCCTCAACATGTTGGGGTGCTTTGGGGCAGAGGGGCCCCCATCAAAGCACCTTGTCCCCATGTTGATGAAGACAAAGACCTCTTCCCCACAACTCTGGGCTGCAGTTGTAGGGGTTTCTGGGGGGGGGGTGACTTATTGTAATCTGGAAGCCCCCTATGTGAATGAGTATGGGGTACATAGTACCGCTACTCATTCACCAAAAAAGTGAGTAAAAACACAAGTTTTTTTCAAGGCCTTTCTTAAAACATTTTTTTTTTTAAATTGTTCCCTGAAGTAGATTCAACATCAATCACGATACTCATTCACATGGGGGGACGTTATCTGAGGACTCCCTTGTTAAAGGAGGCTTCCAGATTCTGATAAGTCACCGCCTGCAGACCCCACAACCAAAGCCCAGGATTGTGGGGAAGAGGCCCTTGTCCTCATCAACATGGTATGAGGAGGGCATGTAGCCTGGAATGGTTCACTCCTCCCCCCCTTTCCAGGGGAATCCCATGCCACTTTATGAAAAAAAAAAAAAAAAATTGGCGTGAGGTTCCTTTTAAAACCCATACCAGACCCCAAGGGTCTCGTGTTGATTGGGGGGACCCCAAGCAGTTTTTTACTGTTTTTTCAATTGCCATTTATATTCAGCTGCCAGCAGGAAACCCTGCTGACAACTCATTGGTTGTGAAGGACGAGGCGTCCACCCGCTCGTGATCGACCATGTTGTATACTGGTTGTTAAGGAAGCCGGATTCTTAACAACCAGCTTAAAGTAACGCAAAGCACAAAACGCAACATGCATAAAACGCATCAAAATCGCAACACTACATTTTTGGTCTGGTTCCTTTGAAGCCTATTACACACAAAACGCAATCTGAAATGAAGGAAATCAAAAGGAAATCATGTTACATGGACTGTAGAGCATTTCTGCAAACTAGAAAACACACTGAAGTCTGCATGACTGTGAACCTAACCGAAATCATTAAAGTCAATCACATGCAGGGCTCCTGTTAGAAACCACGGGGCCCCATACAGCAAACCTGGCAGGGCCCCTCCACAAAAAAAAAAATAATATAGACTTCAGTTATGAATGAACACAGTGAGTAATTGTTACCGATCACTCATTGTGTTCATTCAGAAAAGGAAGGGGCTGGTAAATGTGACATAATTAGCAGACCCTTTTCCCACTCTCCATCCTGAAGGATCCTATTGTGCGCTTGCAGATGCCGGTGGAAAGGAGAGGAGGGGAGCTGGAAGCACTGTGGGGTAGGGGGCACACAGGGGGGCCTGGGCAGCAGGGGAAACGTATGGTGCACAGGGAGGGTGATGGGCGGGGTGGCAATTACTGGAACTGACCCCCTGTATGGCTCTCTTTGCTGCAGCTGAAAGCCAACGGGAGGAAGAGGAGAAGAAGCCACCCTCTTGCCCATATTTGATTCAACCAGCTGCCTGGGCCCTCCCCGCTGGGCCCCATACAGGAAGACTGGTGGTACCCCCTTATCCACGGCCCTGATCATATGGCTAGAGGGATCGGCTTTTGGAGATCCATAGGACCCTAAGACTGATCCCCCCCCCAACCCGGAAGAGAACATGGAAGAGAATGAATAGGCACCAGGCTCAGATGTTACTGAACTACAATACTTAGCATGCTTAACCACTGACCTTCAGTTCATTTGCCTCTATGTAGCCACTTCTGTCTGTGTCATATTTTCTCCAGGCCTAGAACAGCAGAATGGTAATGATATCACCAGGTGGGTGGAGGTAAGTGTCTGCAGGTATGTATGAGTGGGTGCAGCTCTCACCTCCATGAACTCTGTGCTGGAACCGGCATGCTGACGGAAGCAGAGAAGAAAATTCTCTTCAGTCGGGAGAATCTGAGCCAACTAAAAAGTGAAAGAGAAAAGTGGGGGGTCATCCACTGATACCTGAGCTACCATCATCTGCACACACTCTGCAATCACCTGTACATGGTTCCTGCACCCCCCCCCATATCTCACCTGTACTCGGTTCCTGCACACCCCCCATATCTCACCTGTACTCGGTTCCTGCACCCCCCCCCATATCCCACCTGTACTCGGTTCCTACACCCCCCCCATATCTCACCTGTACTCGGTTCCTGCACAGACCCCATATCTCACCTGTACTCGGTTCCTGCACCCCCCATATCTAACCCCCCCCCCCCATTTCCCACCTGTACTCGGTTCCTGCACACCCCCCATATCTAACCTGTACTCGGTTCCTGCACCCCCCCCATATCTCACCTGTACTCGGTTCCTGCACCCCCCCCCCCCCATTTCTCACCTGTACTCGGTTCCTGCACATATCTAACCTGTACTCGGTTCCCACCCCCCCATATCTCACCTGTACTCGGTTCCTGCACCCCCCCATATCCCACCTGTACTCGGTTCCTGCACGCCCCCCATATCCCACCTGTACTCGGTTCCTGCACGCCCCCCATATCCCACCTGTACTCGGTTCCTGCACGCCCCCCATATCTCACCTGTACTCGGTTCCTGCACACCCCCCATATCTCACCTGTACTCGGTTCCTGCACACCCCCCATATCTAACCTGTACTTGGTTCCTGCACCCCCCCCATATCTCACCTGTACTCGGTTCCTGCACACCCCCCCTCATATCTCACCTGTGCTCAGTTCCTGCACCCCCCCCATATCTCACCTGTACTTGGTTCCTGCACACCCCCCATATCTCACCTGTACTCGGTTCCTGCACACCCCCCATATCTCACCTGTACTCGGTTCCTGCACCCCCCCCCCATATCTCACCTGTACTCGGTTTCTGCACACCCCCCATATCTCACCTGTACTCGGTTCCTGTCCGCACTCACCTCTGACATCTCTATGCGTCCATCTGCATTTTTGTCGTACTTTTGCATAAATTCTTTCAACTTCTCTCCAATATTAATGGTGGATCCTTCCTGATAGATGATTGAAAAAAAAATAGATGAGTTGGTTTAGGTATATTTGTAAGAGCAGATTCTACGGAACGGGGCTAGAGTGTCTCCTAAAAAGAATGTTTACATTTTGTGAGATATACAAATTTTTTCCTGGTGAATTAATTCATTGCAGAGATTTTAGCACACTTTAGTGAGGATTCCAACCTGTTTATTTGCTGTAGGTATTGATGTCTACCTTGGCAACACAGTTAGAGAATTAAGTGGGAGGGTCTGCATTCATTATCATACCCAGGGCGGACTTACAAATTATGGGGCCCCCGGGCAATAGGGGATCATGGGGCCCGTGTCCTTGCCCAAACTCAAAAAAGCCTATGAAAAAGGTACCAGGGGCATCTCATGGGGCCCCCTACTGACCCCAGGCCCTCAGGCAGTACCTGAGTTTCCAAATGGTCAGTCCGCCCCTGATCATACCCCGATCAGTCTCAGTATTGCAAATTAAAAAGCTGCTCCCCTTACATTCATTTATGGGTGCAAGACACTTAGAAAAGAGATGGAGCCGTCACCCCTAGCAATGTATGGAGAGGAGGAACTGTCACTCACAGGGATCAGGTCAAGTTTTATCTTTCACATGAAATATGTCTGCTACTGGTTACAGCTCCTGAACTCCTGTAATATACATGTTTTAACCAGAGTGACCAGCAGATGGCAGCATCCAACCACCTATAACATGCTGCCACTTGGGGGACTTTTTTCCTTCTGTACACCTTACACTGTATAGTTAGTGATCAGTACTGAAGCCAGAGGTTCCGCATGACAAGGAGAAAGGTCAGCAATGGCTGCTTCTGTATTTCTTATAGCACAGGTTATCATTAGGGGAACTGAAATTATTTGTAAATTCTCCAACATTCTCTACAATATTCATTTTGCTGGAGATATTTTGTTAAGTGTTCCAAAAACTAAAGTCAGTTGGTTTTTCCTCTGAAATAATAAACTCTTCTTCCCTTTTCTCTCTTTCCCCCCTTTCTTCTTCCTTTACAATGAATTCTCTTCTGTTTTTGCCTCTGCATCTCTCCTCTCCTCTCTTCCTCCCTCTTCTCCTTCCCTCCATCTTCCTCCTCTTTATCTTCCTCCTCCCTATCTATCTCCTCTCCTCCTCCTCTTTTAATATCATCTTCACTCTTCTCAATCTCACTCCTCTCCATCTCCCTTTCTCCTACCCATCTCCCATTTTTCTGATCTCCCTCCTCTCCACTCTCTTCTCTCTGTTCACAAACTCTCTCCACTTCTTGATCTTCTTCCTCTCCTCCTCTCCATCTGCCATCTATCCTATTTTCTTCTCTCCATCTCCCTCCTCTGTTGCATTCTTCTCTCATTGCCTCTCCTCTCCATTTCCCTCCTCTACTACTCCCCCCCCACTTTTTCTAACCTACTTTCCTATCTCTTCTCTTTTCCCTTATTTCTTCCCTCCCCTCTCTCCTTCACTCTTCTCCTTTCCTTCTCTTCTCCTATGGTTTGGTCTTCTCTGCTTCTCCAATCTTCCCCATTCACTCTTCTTCCTCTACCTTTAATCTTATCTCCTTTCCCTCATACTCTCTTCATATTTCAATCTCTTCTTTTCCTTCTTCTCCAGTCCTTCCATCTACTCAGCTCTCCCTCTCATATCCTCTTCTCTTCTTTCCCTCTCCTCCCCTCTCCTATTCTCTTCCTTTCTCCATTTCCTCTCACTTGTCTTTTCTTTCCACCCCCTCACCCCCCTTCTTTCATCTCTTCCCTTTCTCTTTAATCATCCCCTCTTCTCATTTCCCCCCTCTCCTCTCCATTCTCTCTAAATCGTTGGTTTCCTCTTTGTCACCCTTTCCTCTCCATCTTTCTCTACTCTCTCTTTTCCTCCTTGCTCTCTACAGATATCTCCTCTTTCTGTTCTTCCCCTCCCCTCTCTTTTCCTTCATCCTCTCCCTCTGGTTCTTCATTCCTTTCTCTTCCTCTCTCCAATCCTTTCCTCATCCTTCATCTCTCCTCCTCACTACATCTTCCCTCTCCCTTTCCTTCATATCATCTCTCCCTCTCTGTACTCACTCAACCCCCTCCTTTTTTTTCTCTCCTGTCCCTTATTCTTCTCTCCTTTCTCTCCTCTCCCTTTTCATTTTCTTTTCTCCTCTCCTTCTTACTTCATATCTATCCTCTCGATTTTCCTTGTTGCAATCCTTTCCTTGGTCTAATCCCTCAGGGAAGACACTTCTCTCCATTTCCAACTTCCTTTCCCTTCCCTCTCCATTTTGGCCTCCTCTCTTCTTCATCCTCTCCTGACCACTTCTCCTCTCCCTTCTATTATTCTTCTCTCCTATTCTCCCAACATTCTCTCCCCTCTCTCTCTTTTTCCTCTACTCCTCTCCTTTCTTCTCCCATTCCTTTTTCTCTGCCCCACCCCCTCTCTCTCTCTCCTAACACTCCTCTTCCTTTCTCTCTGCTCTTCACCACCCCCTGCCTCATCCAACATCTCTCTCTCTCTCTCTCCCAACACTCCTCTCTTCCACTCCCTGTCCCATCTCTCTCCTCCCTAACACTCCTCTCTGTCACTCCCTACCCCATCACTCTCCTCTCCCCCCTAACACTCCTCTTCGCCACTCCCTGCCCCATCTCTTTCCTCTCAGCCACTCCTTGCCCCATCTTTCTCCTCTCCCTTCTAACACTCCTGTCCACCACTCCCTGCCCCATCTCTCTCCTCTTCCTCCTAACACTCCTCTCTCAGTCAAGGAAGGGTGTCTGATCATGCTCCATATTACTCCTCTTGGTAGAAACTGATTTCCTTTTACAAGATCCAGGCAGATGATCTGCATCTATAGAAAGATTCATACACCTGAGACCTTCTTTCCACATTTTTGAGCTTTTAAAGGATAACTCCACTTTCATAGGAAATGGCATTAAAAAAAATAGCATATAACATTGCAACACAAGTCATATTGTAATTGAATATTAATTTAAAAAATACCTTTCCTATTCAACCTGCAGCACAATAATTGTATGTAAAATGCAATGCAATATGGTAACCTGGAGGAATTCTGTACACAGATGGTTTAGGGAACGCTCACCACAGAAATGTCATTTTCTGCTTGTTTGATTGGCTCAGTGATTTTCACAGACACTCAGCACTAAAATACAAGTCAGATTTTGGGCATCCGCCACAACAAAAATGTAATTTTCTGGTGAGATACTACCAAAGAGAAATCACGTCTAAAGGGATGCAGACCCTGTCACTTTCCTCATTAGAACAATGCAAGTGCAGCAGCTGATTGATATTTATAAAATCACTCCCATTCACATTACATTTGCACATGGACACAGACAAACAAACAGCTACAGGTGCATCTCAATGAATTAGAATATCATCAAAAAGTTCATTTATTTCAGTAATTCAATTCAAAAAATGAATTTTAAATTTTGATGATTATGGCTTACAGCTAATGAAAACCCAAAATTCATTATCTCAGAAAAATTTGAATATTACATAAGACCAATTAAAAAAAAGGATTTTTCTATTTCAATGGTTTTTATTAATTTTTAAACAGTATAAAAGAGAGGCAATAAAACACGCCCACGCAGGGGCTATCAATTGCACAGATAAAAAAAATGCAAAATAAAAAAAAAGAAAAAAAAAAAAAAAAAAAACGGTGCTCTAATGCCAACAGGGCAAAAGGTACGCCCACGCAGAGGCTATCAGTGGCACATAAGTTACAAAACATTACTGTAACTGATTATAACAACTAAATGCAGCTGTCCAGTCACAGCAAAACAGAGAGAGAATGAAAAAAGAAGAAAGAGGGGAAGAAAGAGAAAAAAAAAAAAAAAAAAAAAAAAAGGGAGGGAAAAAAGAGCAGGGGTCCAAGAGCGCCAATACCGAACGCCATTACATCCCCAGACTAGCCGGGGAGAGTGTGGGAAAGGCATATTGCAACCACGGCTCCCATATTTTCAAAAATTTACGTTGGGAGTCGTTGGATACTCGACATCTGTTCGTTGAGCATCATAGTGGTCATACAATCCCGCACCCCCTGAAGAGGGACAAAAAAAAAAAAAAAAAGGATTTTTAATACAGAAATGGCTGACTGAAAAGTATGTCCATGTACAGCATAGTATGTCCTCAAAACTTGGTTGGGGGGCTCCTTTTGCATGAATTACTGCATCAACGTGGCGTGGCATGGGGGTGATCAGCCTGTGGCACTGCTGAGGTGTTATGGAAGCCCAGGTTGCTTTCATAGCAGCCTTCAACTCATCTGCATTGTTAAGTCTGGTGTCTCATCTTCCTCTTGACAATACCCCACATATTCTCTATGGGGTTTAGGTCAGGCAAGTTTGCTGGCCAGTCGAGCACCATCATACCATGATCATTCAAGCAGGTATTGGTACTTTTGGTAGTGTGGGCAGGTGCCAAGTCCTGCTGGAAAATGAAATCAGCATCTCCGTAAAGCTGGTCGGCAAAGGGAAGAATGAAGTGCTCTAGAATCTCCTGGTAGACGGCTGCACTGACCTTGGACTTGATAGAACACAGTGGACCAACACCAGCAGATGACATGGCTCCCCAAATCATCACTGACCATGGAAACTTCACACTGGACATCATGCAACTTGGATTCTGTGCCTCTCCACTCTTCCTCCAGACTCTGGGACCTTGATTGCCAAATGAAATGTAAAATTTGCCTTCATCCGAAAAGAGGACTTTGGTCACTGAGCAACAGTCCAGTCCTTTTTTGCCTTAGCCCAGTTAAGACGCTTCTGACGTTGTCTCTGAATCAAGAGTGGCTTGACACATGGAATGCAACAGTTGGAGCCCATGTCCTGGATACGTCTGTGTGTGGTGGCTCTTGAAGCACTGACACCAGCTGTAGTCCACTCCTTGTGAATCTCCCCCAAATTCTTGGATGGCCTTTGCTTCACAATCCATTCAAGGCTGCGGTTATCCCTGTTGCTTGTGCGCCTTTTTCTACCTTTTTCCTTCCACTCAACTGTCCATTAATATGTTTGGATTCAGCACTCTGAACAGCCAGCTTCTTTAGCAATGACCTTTTGTGACTTACCCTCCTTGTGGAGGGTGTCCATGTTTTCTGGACAACAGTCAAGTCAGCAGTCTTCCCCATGATTGTGTAACCTACTGAACCAGACTGAGAGACCATTGAAAGGCTCAGGAAACCTTTACTGGTGTTTTGAGTTAATTATCTGATTAGAGTATGACAGCACGAGTCTACAATATTGAACTTTCACAAAATTCTAATTTTCTGAAATACTAAATGTTGGGTTTTCACTAGCTGTAAGCCTTAATCCTCAAAATTAAAAGAAAGAAATGCTTGAAATATATCACTCTGTGTACAGAATCTATATATGGAGTTTTACTTTTTAAGTGAATTACTGAATGAAAATGAACTTTTTGATGATATTCTAATTTATTGAGATGCATTGTATTACTTCAGAACAAAAAAGGTAGGAATCTGCAAGAAAAGTACATTGATGAATAAACGTGGCTTGTGCTATGCAGGACAGCTCTTACCATTCCGGCTCCTCTCCGTGCCGCCTCCAATTCCTGGAAAAAATTCTCCAGTTCCTTTCCTTCAATGAAGCCATTTCCTGAGGAGAGAAAAAAAAAACCCATTGCAGTGAGCGATCAATATTACCTCGATACTTCGTTATGTGATGTACCCTTCAGGGGCGGACTGACAACTCATGGGGCCCCCGGGCAATAAGGGATCATGGGGCCCCTGTGTCCTTACCCAAACTCAAAAAAAAACCTATGAAAAAGGTACCAGGGGCATCTCATGGGGCCCCCTACTGACCCTGGGCCCTCGGGCAGTGCCCGAGTTTCCAAATATTTAGTCCGCCCCTGGTACCCTCCATTATTGTATCACGTCCAATGTTCTGAAACAGGAAAGAGGGACAACTGAAGGAAGTGTGTATCCAGTGCAGTCTGAACCCCCATCCTGCACACTTGTTACCAGGACAGTGACTTACTAGGAGGTGAAGCCAGGATTAGTCCTCAGGAGGGGCGGACTGACAACTCATGGGGCCCCCGGGCAATAGGGGATCATGGGGCCCCTGTGCCCTCACCAACACCCAAAAAAGCCAATGAAAGCTACCAGGGGCATCTCATGGGGCCCCCTACTGACCCGGGCCCTCAGGCAGTGCCCGAGTGTTTGAATGGTCAGTCCGCCCCTGGTCCTCAGGCACACTTGACGTTTTTACAGCGGCTGTTTTTGGCTTTTGATGTTTTTTTCTACAGCCAGTAAACCCCCCAGCATGTTATCCTATGTATCCATGCACACATAGGCTTTACCCCTGCCTCACATTACCGCGTTCCTGAGGGCTGCATGTTGCGCGGGCACGAGAGCCCATTCAATTGAATGGACTCCCGTGCCCCGGGACACGCAGGGAAGAAGTCCCTGCGCTTCTTCTAAAAACGCAGCCCACATGGGAATCTCGGTTCCCATGGTTGCGATTTCCAGTGTGGGCAGCGTGCCATTAGAATTAATGGCACCCGTTCGTGGGTCTGCATTCTTCTTTGTGGGTGGTGCGGCTGCACGGATTTTTGTGCGGATCTGCAGTGGCACCACCTGCACAGATGAGAACCTAGCCTTAACCAGTGTTTTTTAGCTGGAAATAAGCCCAGAACTAGTGGGTTTCTAGAGGATTTTTTTAGCTGTAAAAACACTTTAATACAGTAAAAATGCGGCAAACCTGCATTTTGGGGCATTTTTGTTGAGCAAACTTTTTTTGTGTGTGTGTGTAAAAAAAAAAAAAAAAAAAAAAAAAGGCTAAAAAACAGCTAAATGCTACTGCAAATGTGCTAAAAACTCGCATTTTTAAACACAACTTTACACAGCTAAGGCTACCAGCATTATTAAACCTCCGAATGTGCATGGAGCCTTAAAATGGTAGTAAACCGCAAAAAAAACAAAAATAAAAAAAAAAAAAACACCCCTTTTCCCTGCAAATTAAGAGCATATTGTGCTACTATGCATGGCATACTAGCACATTATGAAAGACTTAACTGAAAATAAAGCCCTACAGTGGAGCGCCTGTCTTCTTTCCAGGTTTGTGGACAGCGGCCGTTTGACTGGCTGAGCCACGATGACGTCACTCCACGCATGCGTGCTGGAGTTTCAGCTCTCTTATCACCAGTGCTGCTGCAGTAAACATCTCCTAAATGGTGGATGTTTAGGAGATATTTACAGTACCTATAGGTAAGACAAAAAAAAAAAAAAATAGGGTTTACTTCCACTTCAGAAAAGTCCATGATGTGTGAAAACCCTGGTTACTCTGATATATATATATATATATATATATACACATACATATACACACACACACACATACACACACACACAGGGGGTGAACATATTTACTCATTTCACACATAGGCTCCACCCCCCTGCTTTGTAATCCTCTGCAGTGAGTGTGCTTTGCTGTTCCTTTCTCAGTACAAGTCTACCAGTCTGCTCCAATCAACACATTACAACCTCCAGGTGTAATTAATTTGATCTCAGCAGTCATTCAAAGCATATTTGCGTGTATGTGATGTTCTTTAGTCCTGAAGCCTCCCACATGAACACAGACACTCCAAGCAGAATCCCCCCTTACATGTTTCGTCCCTTATGGGGGCCTAATCATAGAGCCTGATATTCACGTTGACAATAAGCAGAGTTGCTACAAACTAGGCAAGAAAATATGGAACAGCAAAAATTGTGAAAAAACACCTTTCTGGAAACATTTATAATACCCCAATTATGACCTCGCTGGAGGAAGATCTGTGTCACTTTAGCTCTGAATACACTCTGATATCAACTGGGTCGTCACTGTGTATCCGCACTGCTCCTGCACCTGACACCACCATCGCTGCTCATGAGAAGTGACATGTCTCCAGCACAGATGTGACAACCGTCCTCCTCTCGTCTCAAACTCCTCTGAGAGAAAAAAATTACTGGATGTTCTCTCCCTAGGGACTTTTCCCAGATTAACCTCTTCTGTGCCTGTCTCCAATAAGTGTCAGCAAGTCACGCTCTGTCCTGTCCCATACATATTTTATTATCTCACCAGTAAATTCTGATGTGACGTTAACATTTTTGTTCCATAGTTACAATAATAAATATTGATATATATATATATATATATATATATATATATATATAGGAGATGGAAATCACTGGCTGCCATCACTTAGGCTAGGTTTACACCTATGCAGGGGCGTCCCTAGGGTTGGTGTCACTCGGTGCGATAACACTTGGTGACGCCTCCTCCTCTGATCCGGCAGAATGGATCGGATCTGCGGATTGAGCATAATGGATCAGACTCCGATCCATTATGCTCAATCCGCAGATCCGATCCATCCTGTGGGGATCGTCGGGTTTCTTTACAACGTACCTTTTTGTGGAGCAGGTCTGGTGTCACCCGTATAGGTTGCATGCCGACGATCCCCGCAGGATGGCTCGGATCTGCGGATTGAGCATAATGGATCAGAGTCTGATCCATTATACTCTTCAATCTGCAGATCCCATCCATCCTGCGGGGATTGTCGGCATGCAACCTATACTGGTGACACCGGACCCGCTCCACAAAAAGGTACGTTGTAAAGAAAGCCGACGATCCCCGCAGGAGGGATTGGATCCGTCCTGCGGGGATCGTCGGCTTGCCTTACAACGTACCTTTTTGTGGAGCGGGTTTGGTGTCACCCCATGCTGCCGATGTCACCCGATGCCACACCCCCCGCACCTGCCTTGAGACAGCCCTGCACCTATGCAGGTTGTGTTTGAGCCGTTTCTGCATTGCGTTTTGGCTTCTTTTTTTGGCTGTGTGCTGGAAGTCCCTCCCGTCACCTTTTTTCTCTTGGTGTCAGAAAAACTTGTCAGAAACTATTCATGCTAACAGCAGAAGAACAAGCAGCAGAGAGAATGGCACTTAGTGCTCTTAACTGAGACAAGCACACACTACACAGGGATATGCTTTGTTCATATTTCATGTCTGACGTTTACAACTGAATAAAAGAGACGTACAGAACAAATTTATGTTTTATTTCCTTATTTTTCATGCGCTTAATGTATTTTATTTTTATTTTTGTTTTTTTAAGAAAAAAACCAAAAAGTAGGTGGAGGGAGACTCGTGCTCTAACCTATCATAGTGTATGGAATCTGTGTATGTAACAAGTCAGAATGGATGCAAAGTTGTATTTGTAATTCTGAAACTTTGTATCCATTCTGACTTGTTACATACACAGATTCCATACATCGTGAAATGTGAGAACACCAGTCTCTGCCCACCTAATTGTCTACTCCTCATGTCTTCTGATCTTCAGGGGATACAGCGCATCTATCCACAGAGTTCCGCAAAACATTTTTTTTTTAATATATACAAAAGAGGTGAAGAATACAGGAAAGAGCAGATCATTTAACATATTTTAGTATCTTATTATTTTTTGTTTGTTTTGGCCAATTTGGCGTCTATCAATGGCTATGTTAATGTCCTTACGATCATGTGACTTTAGTATTGTCACACCTGGGCGAGGCCATTAAGTGACGCTAAATGATATCCTGATTCTCCAAAAATACTCCAAACACATCACTTACCTAATGGACTTGTAATCTATGTTTCATGAAATGGTTTCTTAATGCATTTTTATCCCTCATTGTAACATCCTCTCTTAGCTTCTGAACCTCTCATTTTCCCCCTCACTTACCTTTGTTTGGAATGAGCAGAAAACGTCAATTGTGGTCATATGCACTGCTCTATGCACACTACAAATCCCACAGTCCATACTACATAGTCCCTAGTCTGTCCCATAGTCCACACTACATAATCTCAGTTCACAGTCCACACTACATAGTCCCATAATCTACAGTCCTATAGTCCATACTACATAGTCCTTAGTCTGTCCCAATAGTCCACACTACATAGTCCACAGTCCCATAGTCCATACTACATAGTCCCTAGTCTGTCCCATAGTCCACACTACAAAATCTCATAGTTCACAGTCCACACTACATAGTCCCATAATCCATACTACATAGTCCCTAGTCTACTTAGAGTCTACTCATAGTCCACACAACATAGCCCCATAATCCACAGTCCTATAGTCCATACCAGGGGCGGACTGAAAACTCATGGGGCCCCCCCGGGCAATAGGGGATCATGGGGCCCCTGTGTCCTTGCCCAAACTCAAAAAGCCTATGAAAAAGGTACCAGGGGCATCTCATGGGGCCCCCTACTGACCCCGGGCCCTCGGGCAGTGCCCGAGTTTCCAAATGGTCAGTCCGCCCCTGGTCCATACTACATAGTCCCTAGTTTACCCATAGTCCACACAACATAGTCCCATAGTCCACAGTCCCATAGTCCTAGTCTTTCCCACAGACCACACTACATAGTCTCATAGCTCACAGTTCACACAACATAGTCCCATAATCCACAGTCCTATAGTCCATACTACATAGTCCCAAGTCTATCCCATAGTCCACACTACATAGTCCTAGTCTATCCCATAGTCCACACAACATAGTCCATGTTACATAGTCCCTAGTCTGTCCCATAGTCCATTCTACATAGTCCCATACTCCACAGTCCTATAGTCCATACTACATAGTCCC